TTTTCTTTTTTTCTTTTTTTTTAATTTTAAAATAAATTTATTGTAATCAAAACAGTACAATGAACTAGTAGAAAACCAACAACATTAACACTTAAACTGGGGTAGCCAAGGGCAAAATAGTAACAGTAAGGAACTCAATAAACAAATATACAGTAGAACCGGTACAGTGTACATACTTCTTGAGAGAGCTCTTGACAGAAACTGCTCTTTTTCAAGGACAGCTGTGCCAGAACTACGGCTTGCCCAAGGTCATCCAGCCAGGTGCAAGTGGAGGAGTGGGGAATCAAACCCAGTTCTCTCAGATTAGACTCCGCGCACTTAACCACGACACCAAACCTGACGTCACCTGCAGCGCTTTGCTTACCTTGCCGAGGGGGATGCTGGCCACGTAGATCAGGTTGTCGTCCTCCCTCTTGAATCTGGGGTGGATCTTCTCCTTTACGATGAAGATGATGTCAGCTGGAATGATGTTTGGGCCCTGCAAGACAAGGGTGTTAATAATCACGCGGCTGGACCAACCCTGGTCAAGGATGCTCTAGGCCAGCAGTGGCCAAACTCGCTTAACGGACAGCCACACCGAATACACATCAGATGCTTGAAAGCCGCAAGACATGAACAAATGTTACACATACAGTTTTATTGACATTATTATTATTATTTTATTAATGTCAAATTAGACTGTGTGAACGATGCAGCTCCTGAGCTGCAGTTTGGCCACCCCTGCTTTAGGCTGAGGGGTCATTTCCTGCAGGAGCGCACAGGAGCGGAGCTCTGGTAGTAAAGAGCCCAGGGGGCGGGCACATGCAACAAGCCCTGCCCCTCTGCTCCCAGCAGCCCTCAGTCAGAGCAAGAAGCAGCCAGGTAAGTTGCAGAGCCCCGCCCCCTGGCCCAAAACAGTCCAGTGGCACCTTTAAGACCAAATTTTATTCAGATACAAGCTCTCCCTCCTCTGCGAGGACAGATCTGCATGTCCCCCCCCAATAGCTAGCAATCCAAAACAGTCCAGTGGGTGGGTGTTGCCTTCTGACACACTTCTGGTGATGTCAGGGCGTGTGGCATATGCAAATAAGCTATGCTAATGAGTTATGCTAATGAGCTCCTGCACCTCTTTGTCTACGAAATGACCCCTGCTTTTAGGCTAAACCTGCATTGAGCAGGGGGTTGGACTGGGTGGCCTCTAGGATCCCTTCCAACACTGTGATTCTATGAATCACACTGGGTGGGTTGGGCGGTGGCTGCTCATTTACTAGTAGTTCCTTCTTTGGATGGAGCTCTTTTGCCCACTTGGGGAGCTTTGACCACCATGCAGAACCAGTTGTGTTTCTCCCAGGAGGAGAACAGGGGGGCACAGGTGTAACCTTCCAGGCAGAGTCCCTGTCATGCCCACAGGTAAGCAAAACTGTGCCGAACCAGAGGTTCAGAGAACGACTGGGTTGGTTTTGTGCTGCCTGGGAGCCCCACTCCGCCTCCAGGGAAATTTACACCAGAACTCTCTTCTCTCTCAAGGGGCCATCAAGGCAGCTAACATATTAAAGCATGCGTGATTTTAAAAAAATCATGTTTTAAAATTCCTGGCTAGGTTTAGGGGCGGAGCCTGTTGGATATTGTAATGCAGGGCTATTTTGGGTCAGGAACGCACAGGAACGGAGTTCTGGCTGGCTCCCGAGTTGGCCACGCCCAGCAGGAACTCATTAGCATAATAGGCCACACCCAACAGCAGAAGCTCATGAGGATTGGCTACATTAGGGGTGTGTGGCCTAACATGCAAAGGAATTCCTGCTACAAAAAAAGGCTCTGGGTTTTGACAACAAACAAGGTAAATAGAGTAAGAAGCAAAAGGTGGGTGTGGCTGGATGGCCACACTTCTGGTAACATGGGGGTGCGGCCTAATGAGCTAATGAGCTGTGCTGTCAGGGGTGTGGCCTATTATGCTAATGAGTTCCTGCTGGGCTTTTTCTACAAAAAGAGCCCCGTTGTAATGCATCAATAAACAAGAACGGGGACCAAGGTGGAAATAACCCAAGATTTAAAAACCCACCGTGTACTGAAAATATAACACTTGAAAGATTATTTATAAATCTATATAGATTTAATAAAATTTATAGAATTTTAGGATATGTTATACAGATGCAACTCTATCCTTATAACAACGAAACTAAATATTGTTATATTACAGTACCACATAGCATTCTCAGAACTCATTTCAAAAGGATCTGGTGTACTAAGCATTCATACAACATAATCCAAGAACAACTTCTTCCAAACGTCTTGCTCCTGCAAGAGAAGCCATCCAAATATCTTGCTCCTGCAAGAGTAATGATCCATCTTGCGACTGGATTACTTTCTTTACAGCAGCAGGATACATAGAAAGGAGAATCTTCATGTTGCATAATTCCAGAAATCGATGAACTTTAACTGTTGCATGAATGCTGAGTCCACCAGATCCTTTTGAATTGAGTTCTGAGAATGCTATGTGGTACTGTGATAGAAAAATATTTACTTTTGTTATTATAAGGATAGACTTGCACCTATCTAGCCAAAAATTCTATACATTTTATTGAATCTATATAAATTTATAAATAATTTTCCAAGTCTTATATTTTCAGTCCACTGTGTTGTTTTTTTGTCTTGGGATAGTGTAACGCTGCATGCAGGAGGATTTGGGAGGGAAAGGGTTAAGAGAAAATCTCTCTGGGGTACACCTGTCAGTTGACCCAACCTTCTCATCAGTCAAGAGGTTGAGCCTCTTTGACCCTCCCTACGGCTTCTGTTTTTTTCATCATATAAGAAGAAGAAGAAGAGATTGGATTTATACCCCACCCTTCACTACCCAAAGGAGTCTCAGAGCGGCTTACAAACTCCTCTCCCTTCCCCTCCGCACAACAGACACCCTGTGAGGTAAAAGAAGAAGAAGAAGAGATTGGATTTATACCCTGCCCTTCACTCCCCAAAGGTGACTCAGAGCGGCTCACAAACTCCTTTCCCTTCCCCTCCCCACAACAGACACCCTGTGAGGTAAAAGGAGAAGGAGAAGAGATTGGATTTATACCCAGCCCTTCACTACCCAAAGGAGTCTCAGAGCGGCTCACAAACTCCTTTCCCTTCCCCTCCCCACAACAGACACCTGGTGAGGTAAAAGAAGAAGGAGAAGAGATTGGATTCATACCCCGCCCTTCACTACACAAAGGAGTCTCAGAGCGGCTTACAAACTCCTTTCCCTTCCCCTCCCCACAACAGACACCCTGTGAGGTAAAAGAAGAAGAAGAGGAGATTGGATTTATACCCTGCCCTTCACTACCCAAAGGTGTCTCAGAGCGGCTTACAGTCTCCTTTCCCTTCCCTTCCCCACAACAGACACCCTGTGAGGTAGGTGGGGCTGAGAGAGCTCTGACAGAAACTGCTCTTTTTTCAAGAACAGCTCTTATCAGAACGACGGCTGGCCCAAGGTCATCCAGCAGGTGCAAGCGCAGGAGTGGGGGATCAAACCCGGCTCTCCCAGATTAGAGTCCGCGTGCACTTAACCACGACACCAAACTGTCTCTCTTCTTCTTCTCTCTTTTACCTGGGCTTGGACCTGTCGCAAGTTAACCTTTTTGAAGTCACTGTGTTCACAAGAAGTTAAAAGTATCCCTGTGAATATGCCATGTGAGATTGCTTCTGTTTTAGTAAGTGAAATTTCTTTCTTGTAGCGTCAGATCTATCTCTGTAACTGGTTTGAGCAGCATTTCCCCCCCTTAACTGGGGAACCCGACACTTCAGAGTTAACCGCGTCCAGGGATGGCGAAAGATCTGAGAAGCCCTGCCATGCGTCACCTGGTCTCCTTCCCGCTGAAAGGTAATCCTGGTCCCCTGTTTCCACCCGGGCTGCACTTTGATGGTCAGGATCTTATCTTTAATGGTGGACGCGTGGCCGTCTTCGTTCATCACCTGAGGGGGGGGGTCGGAAAAGGTCAGTACGGTTTCAGGTTGAGCCAGCTAACCAGGAGGCTTCAGAAGAACATAAGGGAGAAGCCATGTTGGATCAGGCCAATGGTCCATCCAGTCCAACACTCTGTGTCACACAGTGGCCAAAACCCAGGGGCCATCAGGAGGTACACCAGCGGGGCCAGAACTCCAGAAGCCCTCCCACTGTGGCCTCCCACAGCACCAAGAAGACGGAGGACCACTGCCCCAGACATAAGAACATTAAGAGAGAAGCCATGTTGGATCAGGCCAATGGTCCATCCAGTCCAACACTCTGTGTCACACAGTGGCCAAAACCCAGGGGCCGTCAGAAGGTCCAGCAGTGGGGCCAGAACTCCAGAAGCCCTCCCACTGATGCCCCCCAAGTGCCAAGAAGACAGAGCATCCTTGCCCCAGACACAAGAACACAAGAGAGAAGCCAGTGTTGGGTCAGGCCAATGGGCCCCTCCAGTCCAACACTCTGTGTCACACAGTGGCCAAAATCCAGGGGCCATCAGAAGGTCCAGCAGTGGGGCCAGAACTCCAGAAGCCCTCCCACTGATGCCCCCCAAGCGCCAAGAAGACAGAGCATCCTTGCCCCAGACACAAGAACACAAGAAAGAAGCCATGTTGGATCAGGCCATTGGCCCATCCAGTCCAACACTCTGTGTCACGCAGTGGCCAAAACCCAGGGGCCATCAGAAGGTCCAGCAGTGGGGCCAGAACTCCAAAAGCCCTCCAATTTATGCCTCTCAAGCACCAAGAAGACAGAGCATCACTGCCCCAGAGAGAGTCTTCCTTCTAGTTGTTGTTCAGTCGCACAGTCGAGTCCGACTCTTCGCGACCCCATGGACAAGATCACGCCAGGCCCTTCTAGACCTGGTGGCTAAGAGCCATGTGTTCTTCCAATCCCCTCTTGAAGCTGTCTATGCTTGTAGCCGCCACCACTGCCTGTGGCAGTGAATCCCGCGTGTTAATGACTCTTTGGGTGAAGAAGAACCCTGGGAAGTAATTGTGAAAACCTGAAAGGTCTGAGTAGGAGGGCCGTACAGTTCTTTCCAGTGACTTGTCTGCTCCTCATCACACCTCTCCCAGTTGCTTTTCTTCTGAAAAACACAACTCCTGTATCTCCCCTCCCGCTCCACGGGTGAGCGCCCAGTTCTGTTTTGTTCTTTTTTGGGGGGGGCGGAGATTTGGGAAATGGGCGAAGGGGTTTAAGCAGCCCCTCCCCCCCCAGTTCTTTTCTCTCATTTATGGCCTCCACGCCACGGTCTGCTTTGCATGAAAAGGGGGCAAAAAAGGCCAAGAAGAATGAAGGGATTGCCCTTCGCAAGTAATCTGGTCCTCCCCTGAGAGGGGGAGGGAAAAGGCGGGCTTGGGCTTACCCTGCGGGAAATCTTAATTTTTTTGGTACATCCGTAGAACAGGTCTTCCAGGGAAAGGTAGAGGTCCCGCTCGATCGGAGGGTCCTGCTTCTTCACTCCCCTCCCTCGAAGGCCCCCAAAGGCCATGTTGACTTCGGCCCCTTCGCTGGTATAGAACTCTAAGCGGGAAAAAGAACACGGAAACACAAAACTGGAAGGGACCCCCAAGGGTCATCTAGTCCAACCCCCTGCACAATGTAGGAAATTCACAGCTATCTCTTCCCCCTGCTCCCCCCAGTGATTCCCGCCCTATGCCCAGAGGAAGGCTAAAACCCTCCAGGACCCCTGACCAATCTGGCCTGGAGGAAAATTCTTTCCTGATCCCAGAGAGGCAATCGACGTTTCCCTGGGCGTGTGAGAAAGGGCCACGAGAACTAAGCACTGAGGCAACCCTTCCTGCCCCTCCCTCTTGTGATCTCCCTAAGTTCACAGAATCAGCATTGCTGTCCCATGGCCATCTAGCCTCTGTTCAAAAACCTCCAAAGAAGGAGAGCCCACCACCTCCCAAGGAAGCCTGTTCCACTGAGAAATCGCCCTAACTGTCAGGAAGTTCTCCCTAATGTTTAGCTGAAAAACAGTGGCAGGCAGTTCATGGTGGAGCTTTTCCTTTTCTGTTGTTGTTGTTGTTCAGTCGCACAGTCGAGTCCGACTCTTCGCGACCCTGTGGACCACATCACGCCAGGCCCTCCTGTCTTCCGTCGTGCTCCAGAGTTTGCTCAATTTCATGTCCGTTGCATCAATCTTTCCCAGCATCAGGGTCTTCTCCAGTGAGGGCTCCCTTCTCATTGGGTGGCCAAAGTGTTGGAGCTTCAGCTTCAGCGTCTGGCCTTCCAGGGAACAGTCAGGGTTGATTTCTTTGAGGATTGACTGATTTGATCTCCTTGCAGTCCAGGGGACTCTCAAGAGTCTTCTCCAGCACCATCTTTTCTTTTAAGACTTACCAAAAAAAATGGATGTAACTAATCCTAGGGCCCAGCTACGTGTTAATGTTATTTACAGGTCTGGCCCGTGTCTGTCACGGGGCCTTCCAAACACAAGTGTGCTGGCAGCTACATGTTGGGACCAAGGCGGTGGAGTCTCGTGAGCAAAAAATCCTACTTGGTGAGCTCCTGGCATTAAAGTTGTGAGTGAGCGATTTGGCTACTGCATCAATTAGCTTGCTCTGGAGCCCTCCTTCCTGAGCTCAGGCAAGAATCTGCGAGCGGGAGGCTAAAAAACGGTGAGCTAGCTCACACTCACTCAGCTTAGAGGGAACGCTGGTTGGAACTGAATTCGCAGGTGCGTCGGGGGTCCAATTAGGATCCAGACGCAACCCTGAAAGCAGTTTCTGGAATATCCCTGAAAGTGGGAGAGAATGCCATCAGAGTTTTAAAAGACATTCCATTTGAAATAAGACAGCGGAGAAAGAAGTACAAAGAGCTTGTGCTTTTTCTTCAGACAAACTCAATTGGATATAAATGGCTAATTCCAGAAGACGTCACCTTCAAAATTAAGGATAAAAAAGAAAAGATTGACTCTGTTCTGAAAGCTCGGGAATTTCTAAGGGTCCAGTTGGGAAGGCCAGAGGATGGGGGAAAAAGAAGAGGACAGCAAGTCTAGTGGCGAGCTGGACTCGGGTTCTTCCGGAGAGGACTCTCTGGCAGAGCAAGGGGCAGCAGCTCCAAAAAGTCCTTACAAGTTGCGGAAGAGACGGGGAAACGAGAAGAGAAGGCTGAAGGACTCTGACTTGTGCCTTTGAGAATTTTGAAATGGGATGGTTGGGGGTACTGTTCTTAGACAGTTAAGTTCAAGATTTAAAGAAAAGGGTAAAAAATATTATAAATGTTTGACTCAGTTTATAATGACATTAAAAAAGGGAAGACTTGATGTAATTACGCTATTGATGATCTTGTCTCTTGGGTTTTAGGTAGTAGTGGGTTTCTTTACTTTATCCTGTAAATATAGTCCCCCTCCCTTTTTTCTGTTAGTTTTGTAGTTTTATAAAAAATAATAAAAAAATCCCCTCCGGGGGCTCAAAAAAAAAAAAAGGATCTGGTTGGGAAAATAGGGTGGTGGTGGAAGGCAAGGCTTAACCCCCCCCCCAAGGTCCTCGTCGAAGTCAAGCCCCCGCACATCTGCAAATCGAAGTTTCAACATGGGACACAGGTGTTCACCGGGACACACGGCAGATGTGGGGCAGGCCCACATAATTTGGCGTTTTAAGCCGCTCTGAGACTCCTTTGGGTAGTGAAGGGAGGGGTATAAATCCAATCTCCTCCCCCTCCTCCTCCTCTCCGCTTAACTACCTTCCTTCCCTTCCCTTCCCTTCAAGCCTGATACGAATAAGCAACATTTCAACTACCTTCTTAACTACTTCCTTCCCTTCCCTTCCCTTCCCTTCAAGCCTGATACGAATAAGCAACATTTCAACTAAATGCATTTGGAAGTTAAGATCTACCCATCTTGTCTAAATCTGTTTGTAAATTTGTTATTGTATTTTATTGTAATTTATTGTTTTTAAACAATGTGTTTACTGTTTTAACCTCGGCACATGGTGCCCTTGTTAGCCGCCCTGAGCTTTCGGGGTAGGGCGGGATATAAATCCAAATATAAATAAATAAATAAATTGCTTGTGCCTACCATTGAAGGGGTTGTCTCCTCCAAAGAACTCCCGGAAAACCTTGTCAGGGTTCCCATGGAACACATAGCCTTCCGTCCAGGGGGTGTCTTTCCCAAATTCCAACGGGATGCCTCCTTTAAGGCCTTCTTCTCCAAATTTGTCATAAATGCCCTTCTTCAATGCTAAGGGGGGGAAACGGGATGGCATGCATTTTGATCACGGGTTGATTTGAACCTGCGGGTACCTTTGGAGTTCTGAACCTGGACGGCAGCCGCAGCTGCAAAACGGCTGCTGCAAGAGGCAAAACGAATCACAGAATCTCCTGCATAACTCTCATAGTTTCAGGTGGGTAACCAAAGTGGAGCTGCGGTGGCTCAAGTGGTTAAGACGCTGAACTGCAGGCTGTGGAAGGTCGGTAGTTCAGCAGTTCGAGACCCGGGTGTGCCGCATGATGGAGTGAGCTCCCGTCTCTAGTTCCAGCTCCTGCCAACCCAGCAGTTCGAAAGCAAGAAATTGCAAGTAGATAAATAGGGACCACTTCGGTGGGAAGGTAACAGCGTTCCGTGCGCTTTGGTGTTTATTCACACATGACCACGGAGTAGATAAATAGGTACCACTTCGGTGGGAAGGTAACAACGTTCCGTGCGCCTTGGTGTTTATTCACACATGACCACGGAAACGTCTTCGGACCAGTGTTCCCTCTAAGCTGAGTTAGTGTGAGCCAGCTCACAGTTTTTTAGCCTCCGGCTCACACATTTTTGTCTTAGCTGAGGAGGGATGGCTCCAGAGCAGACTAATTGATGCAGCAGCCAAATCACTTGCTCACAACTTTCATGCCAGTAGCTCAGAAAGTAGGATTTTTGCTCACGAGACTCCACAGCTTAGAGGGGACATTGCTTTGGACAGCGCTGGCTCTTCGGCTTGGAAACGGAGATGAGCACCGCAACCCTAGAGTCGGACTCGACTGGCTTTCGAGTGAGGGAACCTCTACCTTCACCAAGTTGGTATGAAGCAGCAGAACGAAGTTTGGGTCCAGTGGCACCTTGAGGACCAACAAAGATTAATTCAAGGTTTTAGCTTTCGTGTGCGTGCACACTTCTTCAGATACAGTGAAACAGAATTCCCTCAACCATTACACATAGGAAGTGGGGTTGGTTGCCAGGAAGGGCCAATTAGAGTCGAGACGGAGACAGAAACAAAATGGAAATTACCAGTCCATCCATATAGAGAGTGGGTAAGCAGTAAATTACTGGTGCTCATCTCTGTTTCCAAGCCGAAGAGCCAGCGCTGTCCGAAGACGTTTCCATGGTCATGTGGCCGGCGTGACTAGACGCCAAGGCACACTTCCCACCAAAGTGGTACCTATTTATCTACTTGCAATTTCTTGCTTTCGAAGTACTAGGTTGGCAGGAGCTGGGACCAGAGACAGGAGCTCACTCCATGCGGCACTCGGGTCTCGAACTGCTGAACTACCGACCTTCTGGGCTTTCGAGCAAGGGAAACCTTTACCTTTATAATGAAGATGATTAACAGATTCAAGGATCAAACAGGAATAATAAGCTTAGTTTATATGGTTACCATTTGTTCGGATTCAGTTCTGGGGGTGGGGAAGTGAAGGAAACAAATATGTCAAAAATGGAGATGGATGCATCCTGAATTGTGGAATGCTGAGAGTACTTAAATTGAGACCCTCTTCCTATATGTAATGGTTGAGGGAATTCTGTTTCACTGTATCTGAAGACGTGTGCTTCCACACAAAAGCTTATACCTTGAATAAAACTTTGTCGGTCTTAAAGGTGCCGCTGGACTCAGACTTTACACCTCTAATAGTAACTCTTCAACAGTTCAGGTAGAAGCTCTGCTTCACAGGATACCTTTTAAAATGAACATATTGTTTCAAAATATTCACTTGCACGCACACACCTTATCTCCATATAGTGAAGACCTTTGTGCTGCCGCCAAAGAAACGTCTTTACAAAATCTGCAGATGCCAATCAGATCTCCAGTGGCCAATTAAAAGCCTTGCTGGGCGGGAGCCTCACCTGGCCCTGGCCCCTTTCTGAAAACACTTGGGGGCACCAGGAAAGCCACGGCGCCCGTGGGCACCCTGTTGGGGAACCCCGGAGTAGACAATAATAACTGTGATGAAACGCGGCAGAGACAAAGCATGAACAGAAAGGACGAGTTGTCCACTTACGGTCACTCAGGACGTCGTAGGCTTCCGCGAGCTGCTTGAATTTCTCCGCCGCCCATGACTCCTTGTTTTTGTGAGGGTGGTTTTTCAATGCGAGTTTTCGATAGCTGCGAAACATAACCGAGGGACCTGTGTTTTCTCTCTGTTTTTCTCTTTACCCAAATGGGTAAATTTTATGGTTGGATCTTAGGGCAGGCCTTTCCCCCCAACTTATGGAACCGGGCGCTGAAAGGAGAGGAAGGTTCCCACCATTTGCACACTGGAATCACAAGATCAAGCCCCGTATCTTTTTAACTACATTATGTGACAGACCTGAAAATATTAAATGTCAGATGTTGGGGTTTTTTTGCCATCGAGTTAAGAACATAAGAACATAAGAGAAACCAATGTTGGATCAGGCCAATGGCCCATCCAGTCCAACACTCCATGTCCCACAGTGGCCAAAAACAAAAGGTGCCATCAGGAGGTCCAGCAGTGGGGCCAGGACACCAGAAGCCCTCCCACTGTTGCCCTCCCCAAGCACCAAGATGACAGAGCATCACTTGCCCCAGACTGAGAGTTCCTATCTATACCTTGTGGCTAAGAGCCACTGATGGACCTCTGCTCCATATGTTTATCCAGTTCCCTCTTGAAGCAGTCCATGCTTGTAGCCGCCACCACCTCCTGTGGCAGTGAATTCCGTGTGTTAATCACTCTTTGGGTGAAGAAGGACTTCCTTTTATCAGTTCTAACCTGACAGCTCAGCAATTTCATGGAGTGCCCACGAGTTCTTGTCTTGTGAGAAAGGGAGAAAAGTCCTTCTTTCTCTACCTTCTCTACCCCATGCATAATTTTGTAAACCTCGATCACATCACACACACACACCCATTGTTCCTCCAAGCTAGGGAGCCCTCCGCTCCTCCACCCTCCCCAGTCTCTGCACTTAGATATTCTGCAGTTTCCCAAGCTGGAGGCATAATTTTGTAAACCTCGATCACATCACCTCCCCAATCGTTGTTTCTCCAAGCGAGAGAGCCCTAAGCTCCTCCACCCTCCTCAGTCTCTGCAGTTAGATCTTCTGCAGTTTCCCAAACAGAACCTTTGTCCCAGTTCTTGCTGAGCTGTAGACTGCCATTGTTCCACTCTGCAGGTGGGAAAAAAAGTAAAAATCCCTGCAGTTAGAAAGACAGAAGGTCAGGGAGAAAGTTTAGCTTCTCCCTCGCCTGACATCTTTCTAACTGCTGGAATTTTTACTTTTTAGCATCCCCCAATATGTCTTCGGACAGCGCTGGCTCTTCGGCTTTGAAACGGAGATGAGCACCGCAACCCTAGAGTCGGATTTGCCTGGCTAAGGTATAGATAGAGGCTCTGGGGCAAGGGGTGCTCTGTCTTCTTGGTGCTTGGGGGGGCAACAGTGGGAGGGCTTCTAGTGTCCTGGCCCCACTGGTGGACCTCCTGATGGCCCCTGGTATTTCTGGCCACTGTGTGACGCAGATAGGACAAAAATGTGTGAGCCAGAGGCTAAAAAACTGTGAGCTAGCTCACATTAACTCAGCTTAGAGAGAACACTGATCATGTCCCCTCTAAGCCTTCTGTTTCCCAGGCTAAACATACCCAGCTCTTTCAGCCTTTCCTCGTAAGACTTTGATTCCAACCCTCTCACCATGCTGGTTGCCCTCTTCTGGACACGCTCGAGCTTGTCAACATCCTTCCTCAAATGTGGCACCCAAAACTGGACACAGGACTCCAGGTGAGGTGAGTCAATCCATCTTCTGTTGGGTCTTCCTCTTTTCCTGCTGCCTTCAACTTTTCCTCACATGATTGTCTTTTCCGGTGACTCTGGGCTTCCCAAAATATGACCCAAAGTATGATAGCCTCAGCTCCGTCGTTTTAGCTTCTAGGGAGAGCTGAAGCTTGGTTTGATCTAGATTTGTCTTTTTTTTTTAATGGTCCGCGTTATCCATAAAACTCTTATCCAACACCGCTAATGATGTGGTGGCGGCTACAAGCATGGACGGCTTCAAAAGTGAATTAGATAAGCATATGGAGCAGAGGTCCATCAGTAGCTATTAGCCACAAGGTCTAGATAGGGGCTCTGGGGCAAGTGATGCTCTGTCTTCTTGGTGCTTCGTGGGGTCAACAGTGGGAGGGCTTCTAATGTCCTGGCCCCACTGGTGGACCTCCTGATGGCACTGGTATTTCTGGCCACTGTGTGACACAGAGTGTTGGACTGGATGGGTCATTGGCCTGATCCAACATGGGCTTGTCTCTGATGTTCTTATGCTTTCGAGCAAGGGAACCTTTCCCTTTTTAATATATGCTAATATCCAGGGATATGCACCGTGTAGACACGCATCTATCGAGCGTCTGTTTCAGGCTGTTGGTTTCTATGCTCTCATGGACGCCAAAATCCCCCCCCCGCCCGCCCCCCCACCGAGGTTCTCACGCCTTCTTGATGTCGGCATCCTTGGCGCTGCGGGTCAGCTCCAGCACCGCGTAGTAATCCTGCCCCATGGCGGCGGCCTTGGCGGCTCCCCCTGTCCGGGCCGGCCCGCTCCGTTGCCAGGCTCTCCCGTTGCTAGGGACGCCGGCGCCTTCCGCCCCTGGTGCATCCTGGGAGTTGTAGTCCTGCCTCGCCGGAGGGCGCGCTCCCGTACCTTAGCCAAGGGGGCGCGGAGGGGGGGGGGGATCGCAGTGTAATCCGGCGTCTCCCTTGCAACGTTTTGAAACCGGACTCCCCACACTGTGCAAGGTGGAAACACTTTACTTGATTTTGTAGTGCATCGTTGGGAGTCCTGGGGCGCCTTTAAGACCAGTAAAGTTTAACTCTGGGCCCGCAATGTTCCCTCTAAGCTGAGTTAGTGTGAGCTGGCTCACAGTTTTTTAGCCTCTAGCTCACACATTTTTGTCGTAGCTCAGGAAGGAGGGCTCCATAGCAAACTAATTCATGCAGCAGCCAAATCATTTGCTCACAGCTTTAATGCTGGTAGCTCACAAAGTAGAATTTTCGCTCACAAGACCCCAAAGCTTAGAGGGAACATTGCTCTGGGGATAAGCCTTTGTGTGCAGGCACACTGCATGAGGGAGCTGTGGTGGCTCAAGTGGTTAAGACGCTGAACTGCAGGCTGTGGAAGGTCGGTAGTTCAGCAGTTCGAGACCCAGGTGCGCCGCATGACGGAGTGAGCTCCCGTCTCTAGTTCCAGCTCCCCTCTCTATTTCCAGAACCTAGCAGTTCGAAAGCAAGAAATTGCAAGTAGATAAATAGGTACCACTTAGGTGGGAGGGTAACAGCTTTCCGTGTGCCTTGGGGTTTAGTCATGCCGGCCACATGACCACAGAAACGTCTTCGGACAGCGCTGGGTCTTCGGCTTTGAAACGGAGATGAGCACTGCAACCCTAGAGTCGGATTCGACTGGCTTTCGAGCAAGGGAACCTTTACCTTTACCTTTTTACACTGCATCAGATAGAGTGGACAAATGTGGACACGATCCCTCCCTTTGACTTGATTTACAGTCCGCCTCTCTCACTGAGACTCGAGGCCTCTTACAAAAGGAGTCTTGAAGGTGCTTCTGGACTCTGGCTCTTTTCTGCTGCGGCAGACAGACCAACACGGCGACCCATCTTGACCTGTCTCCACGGGAAGCACCACATTTAGCTGTACAGAATGGAGATCCATCAGCCTTGTGATAGAAGGACAGAGGGACTCCCACTCTAGCTGTATCTGAAGAAGTGAGCAGGCACTCAGGAAAGCTCTTACTCTGCCACCATTTTTTCTAGTCCTGAAGGTATTACTGGACTCTTGCTCTTTTCTGCTGCTGCAGACAGACTCACATGGCTTCCCGTCTTGATCTGTCTCCATGGAAGGTACCACATTTAGCCGTACAGAATGGAAATCCATCAGCCTTTATTTATTTTTTATTTATTTATCCTGGGATTTATGTCCCGTCCTACCCCGAAGGCTCAGGGCAGCTGACAAGTGTACAATGTGCCAAGATTATAACAATAAAAACACATAGTATAAAACAGTCAAATACAACACAGATTTACAATACAAATTTAACAGAAGATGGGTAGATCTTAAACCCAGCAGTAGCTTTCCTGAAATCTATCATCCACTTGGGATAGAAGGACAGAGGGATTCTCATTCTAGCTGTATCTGAAGAAGTGAGCAGGGACTCACGGAAGTTCCTATCTTGCCACAAATTCTGTTAGTCTTGAAGGTGCTCCTGGACTCTTGCTCTTTTCTGCTGCTGCAGACAGACTCACACGGCTACCCATCTTGATCTATCTCCATGGAAGGCACCACATTTAGCCGTACAGAATGGGAATCCATCAACTCTGTGATAGAAGGACAGATGGACACACATTCTAGCTGTATCTGAAGAAGTGAGCAGGGACTCACGAAAGCTCCTCCCCTGCCACAAATTTTTCTAGCCTTGAAAGTATTACTGGACTCTTGCTCTTTTCTACTGCTGCAGACAGACTAACATGGGGTGACCCATCTTGACCTATCTCCATGGAAGGAACCACATTCAGACGTACAGAATGGGAATCCATCAACCTTGTGACATAAGGACAGATGGACTCAGATGGATCCTAGTTGTGAGCAGTGTGACTCACGAAAGCTCTGACCCTGCCACAAATTTTGTTAGTCTTCAAGGTGCTACTGGACTCTTGCTCTTTACTACTGCTGCAATTAAAAACAATGCAGGATGAGCCAATATAATACACAGAACCAGGGCTATTTTGGGGCAGGAACGCACAGGAGCGGAGTTCCGGCTGGCTCCCAAGTTGGCCACACCCAGCAGGAACTCATTAGCATAATAGGCCACACCCAAGAGCAGGAACTCATTAGGATTGGCTACGTTAGGGGTGTGTGGCCTAACATGCAAAGGAGTCCCTGCTACAAAAAAAGGCCCTGGGTTTTGACCACAAACAAGGTGAACAGAATAACAAGCAAAAGGTGGGTGTGGCTGGATAACCACACTTCTGGTAACATGGGGGTGTGGCCTAATGTGCTAATGAGCTGTGCTGTCAGGGGTAGGGTTGCCAAATGTGGATCGTCCGGGAGCGGGGGGCTCCCGGACGATCCCGGGTGTGTGTGCGCAGCGCACGCGCAGCGTGCACGTCACCCGGAAGTGACGTCGCACGCTGGGGGCGGGGCCACGCGATTTGAGGGGAAAACAAAGAGTTTTCCCCTCAAATGGCTGCCATTTGAGGGGAAAACTCTTTGTTTTCCCCTCAAATCGCGTGGCCCCGCCCCCAGCGTGCGACGTCACTTCCGGGTGACGCGCATGCGGGGGTGGGGTTTCCCCCGGGCCCCGATTCCGGCGCGCCGGGAATCGGGGCTCCGAAACGGGGGATTCCCCGCCCCCCGGCTGCATTTGGCAGCCCTAGTCAGGGGTGTGGCCCAATATGCTAATGAGTTCCTGCTGTTGGGTGTGGCCTATTATGCTAATGAGTTCCTGCTGGGCTTTTTCTACAAAAAGAGCCCTGCACAGAACAAACCAAAACTGGATGACAAAATGGAAGAATCCTTACTATTTTCGTTAACAGGCTGCTGTTAAGGTTGCCAGCTTCTGGGTGGGCTCTGGACGTCTCCCAGAATTGCAGTGGATCTCCAAACTACAGAAATTGGGGCCCCTTGATGAAAATGGCACCTTTAGAGGGCACCTTCAGAGTGGGGAAATTGCCCCCACTCCACAGGCTTCACACCCAAATCACCAGGACCCTGCATACAGGGGTCGTTTCCTGCAGGAGCGCACAGGAGCGTTGCTCCAGCAATAAAGAGCTCAGGGGGCGGGCACATGCAACAAGCCCCACCCCCTGCTCCCAGCAGCCCTCAGTCAGAGCAAGAAGCAACCAGGTAAGTTGCAGAGCCCCCCCGGTCCAAAACAGTCCAGTGGCACCTTTAAGACCAAGTTTTATTCAGGTACAAGCTCTCCCTCCTCTGCGAGGACAGATGTGCACGTTCCCCCCCCCCAATAGCTAGCAATCCAAAACAGTCCAGTGGAGCCTGAGTGGTGGGTGTTGCCTTCTGACGCACTTCCGGTGATGCCAGGGGGTGTGGCCTATGCAAATGAGTCATGTGAATGAGTTATGCTAATGAGCTCCTGCACCTCTTTTTCTACGCAATGACCCCTGCATACATTAAGGCACCAGAAATCTGCATTCATTAGGACAACTTCCTATCGATTTATTTCCTTTAAAGGGGGTGGAAGTGCTCGTCACCCGGCTGCGCACAGAAAGCGCAAAGAGGCTATGAAACGTCACGTACAGTTATCCGTTTATCTTCAGGGAGGCAGAAGATGTGTTGCAGCTGAGGCTGCCGAGTCCTATTGTGGGAAATCAAGTCAAAAGCCCCACTTTTTGTTTAGGTTGTCAACGTGTAGTGTGAATGGGAATATAAAGATTTTTATATATAGGTTTTTTTCTTCTTGATTGTTCATATTCGTATTTCTCTGGTTTTTATAGATTTATTCTTTAAGTAATATTTTATTAGGATGTTAGAAAGGCCTGTTCTATAGGCTTTCCTCTGGTAGGTGATATTGTCAGCAGACAACATAATAGGTACGAAGTTCATGATTCTGTAGTTCTTAGGGCAAACCTTTCAATGTCTGGGTCAGAGAAGATTTTAGTCTGATATGAAGATTCCTTGCCCATTATCATTTAGGTTAGGTTAAGTAAACACCTAGTTTGATGTAGATATGTTGCTTTGTATCTGGCCAATCAGAGGATTATTACTCAAATTACCACTGTCTTTTGTAACCAATGATGCTGTTTGAATATTGTTTTCTTGGTGATGTCAGTCCATGTATAAAATATCATGTATTTCCTGAATATGTTCAGAATATGTTCAAGAAGAAGAAGATGAAGATGAAGAAGAAAGATGTCAGTTTTTGATTAACTATTTGGTCTAATTGTTTTCCTGTTAATTGAAGCATATTTCCTGAATATGCTGAGAAGAAAGTAGTCATTTTTGGATGGACTATTTGGTCCCATTGTTTTTCTGTTAATTGAAATAAAACATAGATCTTCCTCCTCATTTGACTTCCTTTTTGACATGGAATCTAATATGTACAACAAACGTCAGGTTGGAAAATTCCTGGAGACTTTGGGGGTGGGATCTACGGAGGGCAAGTTTGGGGGAGGGACCTCGGCAGGGTAGAACACCCTAGAATTCAGCCCCCCAAAGCAACCGTTTTCTCCAGGGAAACTGATCACTGTCGTCTGGAGAGGAGTTGTAATTCTGAGAGGTCTCCAGGCCGCCCCATGGAGGGTTGGCAACCCCTATCAGCTGACTGAGATTACCCAAATGAGTGCATCAGGGCACTCCGCCCCGACAGGAAGATCCACTCCTAGAATGTAAAGCGATAAAGAGTAGGTGGTCTCCGGAAGAGTGGGAGTTAGGTGCGAATCTCTTGCCTTGTGCTGTGGGCTGGACTAGATGACCCCCTGGGTCCCTTTCAGCCCTCCGTTTCGTTCCTGGGGTTCCTTCCAGCTCTGTATTTCATTCCCAGGACTACTTTGCATTTTTGTTCAATATACTGGTTTGCAGTTCCTCGCTCAGCACAAAAATGCATGAGCCCACAGAATAATGAGCCTGCTTCGGCAGGGAGGGAGGGAGGGAGGGGTATGAATCCAGTAAACAAATAAATAGCAGCCATTTATAATCTGCCCTATCCCAAGATACATTCTGGGCCACCTCCACTCCTTCAGCCATCTGCTCCCTTCGTGATGCCTTCCCAAATTGTTCACACACAGACACTTTGTTCCTGCAAGCTGTGCTCCAATGCATGATGCTGCTCCCCCACTCTTGCATTTAGAAGCAGAAATGCATGGCCAGCGCTGGAGTTTATCCCCGATTTAACCCTTGTACCCCAGAATTCTGTTGGTACCAGTTTGGTGTCGTAGTTAAGTGCGCGGACTCTAATCTGGGAGAACCGGGTTTGATTCCCCACTCCTCCACTTGCACCTGGCTGGATGACCTTGGGCGAGCTGTAGTTCTGATAAGAGCTGTCCTTGAAAAAGAGCAGTTCTTGTCAAGAGCTCTCTCAGCCCCGCCTACCTCACAGGGTGCCTGTTGTGGGGAGGGGAAGGGAACGGAGTTTGTCAGCCGCTCTGAGACTCCTTTGGGTAGTGAAGGGCGGGGTATAAATCCAATCTCTTCTCCTTCTTCTTTTACCTCCCAGGGTGTCTGTCGTGGGGAGGGGAAGGGAGGAGTTTGTCAGCCGCTCTGAGACTCCTTTGGGGAGTGAAGGGCGGGGTATAAATCCAATCTCTTCTCCTTCTTCTTTTACCTCCCAGGGTGTCTGTCGTGGGGAGGGGAAGGGAAAGGAGTTTGTCAGCCGCTCTGAGACACCTTTGGATAGTGAAGGGCGGGGTATAAATCCAATCTCTTCTCCTTCTTCTTCTACCTCCCAGGGTGCCTGTTGTGGGGAGGGGAAGGGAAAGGGGTTTGTCAGCCGCTCTGAGACACCTTTGGATAGTGAAGGGCGGGGTATAAATCCAATCTCTTCTCCTTCTTCTTCTACCTCACAGGGTGTCTGATGTGGGGAGGGGAAGGGAAAGGGGTTTGTCAGCCGCTCTGAGACACCTTTGGATAGTGAAGGGCGGGGTGTAAATCCAATCTCTTCTACTTCTTCTTTTTCTTAAAGGTGCCACTAGACTCAAACTTTGTTCTGCTGCTTCAGACCAACAGGGCTACCCCACTTGAATATACCTATCCACAGGGGTCATTTCGTAGAAAAAGAGGTGCAGGAGCTCATTAGCATAACTCATTAGCATAACTTATTTGCATATGCCACACCCCCTGGCATCACCAGAAGCGTGTCAGAAGGCAACACCCACTGCTCAGGCTCCCCTGGACTGTTTTGGATTGCTATTTGGGGGGGGGGACATGCAGATCTGTCCTCGCAGAGGAGGGAGAGCTTGTACCTGAATAAAACTTGAAGTGCCACTGGACTGTTTTGGACCGGGGGGTTGGGGGGGGGGGCTCTGCAACTTACCTGGCTGCTTCTTGCTCTGACTGAGGGCTGCTGGGTGCAGGGAGTGGGGCTTGTTGCATGTGCCCACCCCCTGGGCTCTTTACTGCCGGAGCTCCGCTCCTGTGTGCTCCTACAGGAAATGACCCCTGCCTATTTATGTCTGGGTTAAAATGTACACAGAGAAATCTTCCCCAAATCGCAATTACAGATGTGACGATTCAGAAAACAATTGGAAATATTTTAGGGGAAAGGAGTTCTCCTTTCTCCCCAGTCCGTCACATCTGTAACCCCAAGCAGCTGTGGAAACACGATAGTCTCTTTAAGAGGACTGATTCTGTGGGCGAAAAGACAACAGAAGAGGAGGGGGAAATTATAAAAATTGAAGATATATAGAAGTTGTTTCAAAATGAGTCTGGGAAAACTGATAAATCAAAGATTTAGGGGAAAAAAGACATTTCACAAAGGATGGGGGAACTGGAAAAAATGATAAATACCAGGAGTTGGAAAAGAAAATTAAAAAACCAGATAATAAATTAATGTCTAATAAATCTGAGAAAGTGACTGAACAAAACAAAGGTCAATAAAAAACTGAAAGTTTAGAAAGCACTTTCTGGTTATTAGAAAAAGATTTTGGGGTGACAGAAAAAGAAAATAAAAGTTAAGAGAAAAAGTAGAAGGCATTGAAAACCAGATGAGAAGGTCAAATCTGAGGATTAAGTAGGAAGGAGAAGGTATTAATTTAAAAAAATTATTTAAGTGATCTCTTTATAGGTTGTCTAGGATCTGATTTTGAGGCTGAGATTTTAAATTGATACCACTTTTAGAATTAATAGTAAACTCGCAAAAAGAAAAAACCTTCCAAGAGATATTTTGGTGAAATTCTCTGACTTTCATAGTAGAAAGTATTGCATTGGATTTTAATCACATTTTAATCACACCTGTTTTTCTTTTGTGGATAGTACAATCTAAACATTTGGGCAAGGGAAAAAAATATATTATCCAAAATATTGTGCTTCGGTTCTGCCAGAAGTGGACTGCAGACCCTGCAAGCTATTCGTCTGTCAATTCCCCTAAAAGCCAGTTTGGTGTAGTGGTTAAGTAGTCTGGAAGAACTGGGTTTGATTCCCCACTCCTCCACTTGCACCTGCTGGATGATCTTGGGCAAGCCATAGTTCTCTGAGCTGTTCTTGAAAAACAGCTTTCTGTCGCAGCTCTCTCAGCCCCACCTACCTCACAGGGTGTCTGTTGGGAGGGGAGGGGAAGGGAAAGGAAGAAGAGGAAATTGGATTTATACCCCGCCCTTCACTACCCAAAGGTGTCTCAGAGTGGCCTAAAAACTCCTTTCCCTTCCCCTCCCCACAACAGACACCCTGTGAGGTAAGTGGGGCTGAGAGCTCTTGGCAGAAACTGCTCTTTTTCAAGAACAGCTCTTATCAGAACCAAGGCTTGCCCAAGGTCATCCAGCCAGGTGCAAGTGGAGGAGTGGGGAATCAAACCCGGTTCTCCCAGATTAGAGTCCATGCACTTAACCATGACACCAAACTGGGTCTCAGTTCGTAACTCTCAGAAGTTTGTAAGCCGCTCTGAGACTCCCTTGGGTAGTGAAGGGCTGGGTATAAATCCAATCTCCTCCTCTTCTTCCAAAAACTGAAACAATTTTTATGCCTGTGTTAGGTAACCAGTTCTGAAGGCTGAACATCAATTTCTTATTGTTGAAAGACTAAGGAAGACTCCGCAAGATAAAAGACAGAGACACCTCTCTCCTCTGTAACTGCTGCTGGAAACCAACAGGAGTGGCAAAGAACTGCCAGGATTCAGAATAAATTGATAAAGGGCCCACCAAAACATAATGTAACTTTTTTTTTTAAAGAGCAGTTTGAGCTCAAAGCAACTTTATCACAAATTTAAAACAGGCCCCCGGTTTGTCGGAGAAGTGGCTCGGAAATCAGTTGTAATTCTGGAGGAAGGCCGGAAATGAAAAAAAATAATCAGGGCAGGCTTTACTAAAAACATCCCTTTATTGAAGCCGCCTGGCCTCGGTCTCCCACCCCTAGGAACCAAAGAGGTCACAAGATGGGACGAACAAACCAACGTCTGCCTACACAAAAAGAGGGGGGCCTTAAATACCAAACGGTCTTGTTGAGCCGCGCAGTACAGCAGAACGATGTCAACTTTCCGAAACACTTTTGCTTTTCCGCTTTTCCCCTAAGGGGACGTTTGCCTGTGGCTTGAGCTAGCATTCTTCTCTTAACGTGGCCACTGGGATTCACACGTTTGTGTGTGTGTGCTCCGTTCACATCACTGTACAAAGTCCTGGAAACGTGGCACGAGTATGGCTTGTCGTGAAACGTGTTTCTCGTGCTGTCCTTGAAACGCATCCGGCGTTCGTCGTCCGGTGTCTGCGGTTCGGCGCTTGCGGCTCCAATCCGGTCACAGGTCTGAGAGATGGTATCTCCTCACTAGCCCGTCTCGGCAACAGGTATAGATCTGCTTCTCCCAGGTCGCCACCTAGAAAGGTTGCGGCAGAAGAGGTGTCTGAAAAGAGTCAAACTGACTTCACCTCCAAGGGGAGAGAAGGAGAAATGAGTATTCGCTTTCCTAATCACCCTGAGGGTTGGGGGATGCCAGGTTAGGGATCCTCGGTATCCCCGGCAGCTTTGGGGTTAAAAATGATGTCAGGAATCTCAATGTTCCCTCTAAGCTGAGTTAGTGTGAGCTAGCTCACAGTTTTTTAGCCTCCGGCTCACACTTTTTTGCCTTTGCTCAGGAAGGATGGCTCCAGAGCAAACTAATTTATACAGCAGCCAAATTGCTCACTTACAACTTTAATGCCAGTCGCTCACAAAGTAGAATTTTTGCTCACAAGACTCCACAGCTTAGAGGGAACACTGGTCAGGAATCAGGAGGAATACGTGCAAACATCACGTCCATGTTCAGATTAGATGTTGTACAAGAAGGGGGACCCGCGATACTCGCGGGGAGAGGGGAGTATTCCCCACGGCTCCCGGCCTGCAGGAACAGGAAGTGGCAGCGGGTGAGCCCAACAGGCAGACCCACCAGGCCCGCCAAGCCTTCTCCCTCCTCCCACCCGACACTGGCGGCAGCGAGGCCTTCTCCTGCCCACCCTCCCCAGCAGCGGCGGCAGCAACGTCTGAGGCCCGCCAAGCCTTCTTCCTTCTCCCCCCGGGCACCGGTGAGGCCTGAGCAGCTCACAGCTGCCGGCCCGCCAAGCCTTCTCCCCGACGGCGAGACAGTTCCCAGGGTGTTCTCTGCGCATGCACAGGGAACGCTCTTTTACTTTTGGGGGGGATTTAAATATCCCCCGTACAGTTTTTAAAACTTTTCAGATTTTTCCGCACCCCTGGGGACTGCCCCAAGTGTGCAGGGAAATCTCTCTGGTCCCCCAGGTGCCCCCGATGTGTGGATTTAGATATCCGCACGTGGGGGTGTGTGTGTCTTGGCTATTAGATATATAGATTGTTGTGGGTGAGAAGTTGTTTAAGAGTGGAGTTATAAATCTATGCCTCATTTTCCCTTTTGGGTGCCGTCCTTCAGAGCTGAGGATTGTTTCCCCTTTTGCCAGTTTGGTGTCGTGGTCAAGTGCGCGGACTCTAATCTGGGAGAACCGGGTTTGATTCCCCACTCCTCCACTCGCACCTGCTGGATGACCTTGGGCAAGCCATAGTTCTGTCAGAGCTGTTCTTGAAAAAGAGCCGTTTCTGTCAGAGCTCTCTCAGCCCCGCCGACCTCCCAGGGCCAGTGTTCCCTCTAAGCTGAGTTTGTGTGAGCTAGCTCATCGTTTTTTAGCCTCTGGCTCACAAATTGTTGTCTTAGGAAGGATGTCTCCACTGCAGGCTAATTTATGCAGCAGCCAAATTGCTTGCTCACAACCTTAGTTCCGGTAGCTCACAAAGTAGAATATTTACTCACAAGACTCTACAGCTTAGAGGGAACATTGCTCACAGGGTGCCTGTTGTGGGGAGGGGAAGGGAAAGGAGTTTGGAAGCCGCTCTGAGACTCCTTTGGGTAGTGAAGGGCGGGGTATAAATCCAATCTCCTCTTCTCCTTCTTCTTTTACCTCACAGGGTGTGTGTTGTGGGGAGGGGGAGGGAAAGGAGTTTGGAAGCCGCTCTGAGACTCCTTTGGGTAGTGAAGGGCGGGGTATAAGTCCAATCTCTTCCTCTTCTTCCGCTGCTCTTGTTGTTGCTGCCTGACAAAGAGAGCTGCGACTCTCAAAAGCTGATGTCCTGAAACTCTTGTTGGTCACTAATGTGCTACTGGACTCAAAACCAATAGTTCTTGTTTGAAAGTACTCTTCTCAAACTAGAAAAAAATTATTTTTTAAATAAACAACACACTTACCCTGTACACAGGGTCACAGTCTGCTCCGGTGAGCTCAACGATGTGATCGAGGTCTTGCTGCAGAATGAAACAGGTGCCGTCACCTGGAAACGGGCACAGGAAACAAGCCATTGTTTGAAAATATGAGACTCTTCTGTGGTCTGCCTCAGAAGCCTTACATTTGGTATCAGAACTAGGTACCACGACGGTTGAGCAGGATCAATGTTAAAAACGAATTAAGCAAAATTAATCAATTTATTGCCCATGCACTTAAAATACAAATTAAAACGTAGGTCTTAAATTCAGCCTCTAGAATCACAGAGGTAGGAAGGGACCTCCAGGGTCATCTAGTCCAACCCCCTGCACAATGCAGGAAATTCACCAATACCTCCCCCCCACACCCAGAGTGACCCCTGCTCCACACCCAGAAGATGGCAAAAAACCCCTCCAGGATCTCTGGCCAAACTGGCCTGGAGAAAATTGGCTTCCTGACCCCAAAGTGGCGACCGGCATTTCCCTGGGCTTGTAGGAAAGGGCCACGAGCACTAAGCACTGAGGCAACCCTCCCTGCCCTCCCTTCTCGTGATCTGCCCAAGTTCAAAGAATCTGCACTACTGTCCGATGGCCATCTGGCCTCTGTTTGAAAACCTCCAAAGAAGGAGAGCCTGCCACCTCCCGAGGAAGCCTGTTCCACCGAGGAACTGCTCTGACTGTCAGGAAGCTCTTCCTAATGTTTAGCTGAAAACTCTTCTGATTTAACTTCAACCCGTTGGTTCTGGTCTGACCTTCTGGGGCAATAGAAAACAACTGTGCACCATCCTCTCTAGGACAGCCCTTCAAGGACTTGAAGATGGTGATCATATCCCCTCTCAGTCGTCAGAGCCAGTGTGGTGTCGTGGTTAAGTGCACGGACTCTAATCTGGGAGAACCGGGTTTGACTCCCCCACTCCTCCGCTTGCACCAGGCTGGATGACCTTGGGCAAGCCGTAGTTCTGGCACAGCTGTTCTTGGAAAAGAGCAGTTTCTGTCAAGAGCTCTCTCAGCCCCACCGACCTCACAGGGTGTCTGTTGTGGGGAGGGGAAGGGAAAGGAGTTTGCAAGCCGCTCTGAGACACCTTTGGGTAGTGAAAGGCGGGGTATAAATGCAATCTCTTCTCCTTCTTCTTTTACCTCACAGGGTGTGTGTTGTGGGGAGGGGAAGGGAAAGGAGTTTGTAAGCCACTCTGAGACTCCTTTGGGTAGTGAAGGGCGGTGTACAAATCCAATCTCTTCTTCTCCTTCTTCTTTTACCTCACAGGGTGTGTGTTGTGGGGAGGGGGAGGGAAAGGAGTTTGTAAGCCGCTCTGAGACTCCTTTGGGTAGTGGAGGGCGGGGTATAAATCCAATCTCTTCTCCTTCTTCTCCTCTCCAGGCTAAACATACCCAGCTCCTTCAACCTTTCCTCCTAGGACTTGGTCTCCAGACCACTGTTCCCTCTAAGCTGAGTCAGTGTGAGCTAGCTCACAGTTTTTTAGCCTCTGGCTCACACATTTTTGTCTTAGCTCAGGAAGGATGGCTCCAGAACAAACTAATTTATGCAGCAGCCAAATCTCCTGCTCACAACTTTAATGCCAATAGCTCACAAAGTAGAATTTTTGCTCACAGGACTCCATATCTTAGAGGGAACTTTGCTCCAGACCCATCACCATCTTCATTGCCCTCCTCTGGACACGTTCCAGCTCGTCTATGTCCTTGTCTATATATAGAATCAGAAGCCTGACATTCTGGCCCCCTGCATATCGCAAGATCCACAGGAGTCAAATGCGCAAAAGCCATTGTATCCATACGGGAAGCCTGTTTAAATTGCCTTGAAACCTTGAGCCCCCGGGGACCTAACCAGCGTTCCCTCTAAGCTGAGTTAGTGTGAGCTAGCTCACAGTTTTTTAGCCTCCGGCTCACACATTTTTGTCTTAGCTCAGGAAGGAGGGCTCCAGAGCAGACTAATTTATGCAGTTAGTCAAACTGCTCGCTCACAACTTTTATTCCGGTAGCTCACGAAGTAGAATTTTTGCTCACAAGACTCCACAGCTGAGAGGGAGCATTGGACCTAACAAGACTTTCCCTCGTCATAGTAACTGGAAATCCATAGTGGAGGTACCTCTAAAATCTTTATTTGTGGGCAGGGAGTGAACAGAAGCCAGTGTGGTGTCCTGACTAAGAATGCTGGACTAGTAGCTGAGAGACCCAGGTTCGAATCCCTACTTGTACCATGGCAGCTTGCTGGGCAACCTTGGGTCAGTCACGCGCTCTCAGCCTAGCCTTCCTCACAGGGTTGTTGTGAGCGTAAAATGGAGGGGAGGTACAAATGAAGTAAATATATACACAGGAGTGCTACCTTGGCTGGCGATAAACCCATCTTTGTACGGAAGCAGGGAAAGCACCGGCGCTCCGGATCTTTGAATGACCCGAACTGGAGCCCTGCAGAGAAGAGCAAGAGAAATTCAGTCTTAGCTGAAGAGCCACACGTGCCCACGCAAGCCACAAAATACAGAACGGGTCAAAGCGGATATAAACGTGAAGCCGGCAAAGTGAAATGGAGACCTGCCCTTGCGTAGCACTTCATTTACACTAAAGAGCCACTGCAAACGAGGCAGCCCAGTCTAAGTAAGGAACCATGCAAATCCCTCGGTGAGCTCCATTTAACCTACCCTTACTTCAACCAGCACTAACACTGAAAAACAAGAGAAATCTGTTGGGACCTTAGAGACAAACAAAACTTGTAACAGCAGCGTTCTTAAGGTGCCACTGGACTTCTGTTTGTCAGTTTGGCGTCATGGTTAAGAGCAGCGGGTTCTAATCCGGGAGAGCTGGGTTTGAGTCCTCACTCCTCCTCCATGTGCAGCTGCTGGGTGACCTTGGGTCAGTCACAAGTTATCTCAGAGCTGTTCTCTCAAGGGCAGTTCTCTCGGCCCCACCTACCTCACAGGGTGACTTGTTGTGGGAAGGGGAAGGGAAAGGAGCCCACTCTGAGACTCCGAGTGAAGGGCGGGGGTATAAATCCAATCTCCTCCTCCTTTTTGGTTTGCTACAATAGACTACTTGGGAAGGCACCTACTCTCCTGGCTTTCCAGGAATGCTCACCAGGAATGCAGAGCATCACTTGTCCCAGACATAAGAACATACAAGAAGCCAATGTTGAATCAGGCCAGTGGCCCATCCAGTCCAACACTCTGTGTCACACAGTGGCCAGAAATACCCGGTGCCATCAGGAGGTCCAGCAATGGGGCCAGGACACCAGAAGCCCTCCCACTCTTGCCCCCCAAACACCAAGAATACAGAGCATCACCTGCCCCAGACTGAGAGTTTCTATCTAAACTTGGTGGCCACTGATGGACCTCTGCTCCATAGAAGAACATAAGAGAAGCCAATGTTAGATCAGGCCAATGGCCCATCCAGCCCAACACTCTGTGTCACACGGTGGCTAGAAATACCAGGTGCCATTAGGAGGTCCAGCAGTGGGGCCAGGACACTAGAAGCCCTCCCACTGTTGACCCCCCCCCAAGCACCAAGAAGACAGAGCATCCCTTGCCCCAGACATAAGAACATAAGAGAAGCCAATGTTGGATCAAGCCAATGACCCATCCAGTCCAACACTCTGTGTCACACAGTGGCCAGAAATACCAGGTGCCATCAGGAGGTCCAGCAGTGGGGCCAGGATACTAGAAGTCCTCCCACTGTTGCCCCCCCCAAGCACCAAGAACACAGAGCATCCCTTGCCCCAGACCGAGAGTTCCTATCTATACCTTGTGGCTAAGAGCCACTGATGGACCTCTGCTCCATATACTTATCTAATTCCCTCTTGAAGCCGTCCATGCTTGTAGCCGCCACTACTTCCTGTGGCAGTGAATTCCATGTGTGAATCACTCTCTGGATGAAGAAGGACTTCCCTTTTATCCGTTCTAACCCGACTGCTCAGCAATTTCATGGAGTGCCCACGAGGAGTTCTTGCATCGTGAGAAAGGGAGAAAAGTACCTCTTTCTCTGCCTGCTCTATTGTAGCATAAGCTTTCAAGAAACACAGCTCTCTTCATGAGATGTATGGAGGGTATGAAGAAACTGGCCAGAGATATATAGGTGGAAAGGGAAGGGGGGACTTTTGCAACTGCTTTGCATTTACACGGCACTTCCTGCATCCCCCCCCCCCTCCCCCTATATATTTCTTTCCAGTTTCTTCATACCCTCCATGCCTCTGACGAAGAGAGCTGCGTTTCTCGAAAGCTTATGCTACAATGAAGTCTGTTAGTCTTAAAACTGCTACTGGTCTTTAAACTGGGAAAGGCAGACTATAAATGAACGAACGGATAAAGGAGTAAATAAAAACACGCCAACCTCATTGAAACAACTTCGGAGAGGCGTAAGAGTGGACCCGGACCATAACCCCTTCCCGTGTAATCCTGTTTCCCCAAATTACATAAATTCTCAAACCAGCACAGAAAGCAGCCAGACCGGACCGAACTGAGCTACTTCCCTGAGCTACCGGATAGGGCGGGGTACAAATCCCAAAATAAATAAATAAATAAATAAATAAGTGGCTACCGGGCTGCTGAGGAGACTCAACAAGGCCTCGGCGGGCACTCACTTGGTATTTCTGACGTCCAGCTGGTAGATGTTCCCGTCCTGCGACCCTGCCAGGAGGTAGATGCTCGAGAGGAATGCGCAGCAATTGAATGCGTCGGAGCCGACAAAGAGGAAAACCTGCGAAGGGAGGAAAGGGGGCCGTGATGCCTTGGGAGAGATTCATTATTTAGAGAACGTCTATGCCACCCCTCTAGAGACTGACGTGAATGGGACTTTCGCAGTGATGACGAACAGAACAGTTCAGGATTGGAGAAACATCTGGATCAGAAGCCGTGTTCCCTCTAAGCTGAGTGAGTGTGAGCTAGCTCACCGTTTTCTAGCCTCCGGCTCACACAATTTTAGCTCAGGAAGGACAGCTCCAGAGCAAACCAATTTATGCAGTAGCCAAATCGCTCGCTCACAACTTTAATGCCAGTAGCTCACAAAGTAGAATTTTTGCTCACAAGACTCCACAGCTTAGAGGGAACGTGGATCAGAAGTCCATCGGTGGCTATTCGCCACAAGGTCTAAATGGAACACTCTGTCTGGGGCAAGGGATGCTCTGTCTTCTTGGTGCTTGGGGGACAAGAGTGGGAGGGCTTCTGGAGTTCTGGCCCCACTGGTGGACCTCCTGATGGCCCCTGGGCTTTGGCCACTGTGTGACACAGAGTGTTGGACTGGAGTGGGCACTGGCCTGATCCAACATGGCTTCACTTATGTTCTTATCTCTGGGGCAGGGATGCTCTGTCTTCTTGGGGGGCAACCGTGGGAGGGCTTCTGGAGTTCTGGCCTCGCTGGTGGACCTCCTGATGGCCTCTGGGTTTTGGCCACTGTGTGACACAGAGTGTTAGACTGGAGGGGCCACTGGCCTGATACATGGTTAAGACAGATTTTTAAAAAATTGAAATAATGAATTAAACTGAATCTATGGGATTTCTCAGGAAGCAGGGCCAAAGCTCAAATAAATACAGAAGAGGAAGAGGAGGAAGAGGAGGAAAACGAAGAAGAAGAGAAGGAGGAGATTGGCTTTAGATCCCGCCCTTCACTACCCGAAGGAGTCTCAGAGCGGTTTACAAATTCCTTTCCCTTCCCCTCCCCACAAAAGACACCCTGTGAGGTAGGTGAGGCTGAGAGAGCTCTGACAGAAACTGCTGTTTTTCAAGAACAGCTCTGACAGAACTATGGCTTGCCCAAGGTCATCCAGCAGCTGCCATTGGAGGAGTGGGGAATCAAACTCGGTTCTCCCAGTTTAGAGTCCGTACTCCTAACTACTACACAAAAGTGGCTCTACACCAAACTGACCACTTTGCCTTACTCCCGCCGTGCAAACCTCTTTGCAATCCAACAACTGTGTTAAACGTGGGGAAAGAGATGGCTTACCGGTTGCCGACTTTGCAGCCCTACCCCCTGAAATTTCTTGTCTTCCCGAGCCAGCAGCAGGAGTTTCCCCTCTGTTCCGATTTCGCGCTCGCCTGTTTTGGAGAGAAGCAAGGTTATCGTCAGCCGCTAATCCCCTCGGTCAGAGTGTCAGGCTGAGATCTGGGGGACCCAAGTTCGAATCCCCACTCGGCCAGCACACTCGCTGGATGAACGCGGGCCAGTCACTTCTTCTCATCCTGACCTACCCCACAGGGTTGTTGTGACAATAAAATGAAAGTGGGGAGACCCATGCCTGCTGCTCCGAGCTCCTTGGAGGGAGGATTGGTTAAAAATCGATGAATAGGCTGAAGAGAAGGTCGGGGTTGCCACCTGACTAATCTCAGAAGGCCGGGGCCCCTGAAGATGATCGCAGCGGTCAAGTGGGTTCATAAGAGAAGAGATTAGATGTATACCCCGCCCTTCACTACCCGAAGGAGTCTCAGAGCGGCTTACAAACTCCTTTCCCTCCCCCTCCCCACAACAGACACCCTGTGAGGCAGGTGGGGCTGAGAGAGCTCTTTCCAGAACTGTCCTTGAAAGAACAGCTCTGAGAGAACTTGTGACTGACCCAAGGTCACACCAGCAGCCGCACATGGAGGAATGGGGGATCAAACCTGGTTCTCCCAGATTAGAGTCCACGCACTTTTTTTTTTGATTAATTTTTATTTGTTTTATCCATCACTTTTACATTCCATATTATTTAGCATCTTACAATTTTTCCTCCCCATCCCTTCCCTCCCTCCTCCCTTCCCTATCTTCGTGTAGTCTTTAGTCTTTTCTCTCCAGCCACGGGCACAAAGTCAAGATCTTCCACCGAATGTCTTCCCTTCCCTCCTTGGATATCCACTCCAGATAGGTCCTCCACCTTTTCCAAATTTCTGCGGATTTCTCTTCCCAGGGTGCCTACTTGCGAGAGTCCACGCACTTAACCACTACACCAAACCGGCTCTCTGAGGTAGGCGGGGCTGAGAGCAGTGTTCCCTCTAAGCTGAGTTAGTGTGAGCTAGCTCACAATTTTTTAGCCTCTGGCTCACACATTTTTGTCTTAGCTCAGGAAGGAGGGCTCCAGAGCAAACTAATTTATGCACTAGCTGAATTGCTCGCTCACAATGTTAATGCCAGTAGCTCACAAAGTAGAATCTTTGCTCACAAGACTCCGCAGCTTAGACGGAGCATTGGCTGAGAGAGCTCTGAGAGAAACGGCTCTTTTTCAAGAACAGCTCTGACAGAACTATGGCTTGCCCAAGGTCATGCAGCCAGGTGCAAGTGGAGGAGTGGGGGATCAAACCCAGTTCTCCCAGATTAGAGTCCGCGCTCCTAACCACGACACCAAACTGGCTCTCTGGGAGTGGGGAGTGAGCAGTCCTTCCAGTATGTTAGCTAAGGCCTTTTCCTGTTTGTTTGGCCCTTCTTAATCAGGTGCTGCAAAAGCTTTCCCACACTCCCTTCTCCCTCTCTGCAACATGCATCACACAGAGCAAACCAACAGCTCCCCACCCAGAGTATGCCTTTTGAATCCTGCATGCAGCATATCTAAAGTGTCCCTCTTACAGAGCGAGGGAGACACCCGGCCGATGTCACTTACTAGGTGCTGTTTCGGGAGATCCCAGATTCAAGGTGTTGTCTGCACCCCCCAGGGCGATTCCGTTGACGGGGGAGCCGCAGTCCGCCACTGTCCCCAGGCAAGCCGATCTCCCACAATCCCACAGGCGGGCTGTGCCGTCCCGGCTGCTGGACACCACGTTCCTTCCTCGGTCCACGATGGCCGTGTCCAGGATTCCTGCAGCGGAGTAAAGGAGCCGTTTGAAGAAAAGATTGGATTTATACCCTGCCCTTCACTACCCGAAGGAGGCTCAGAGCGGCTTGCAAAGTCCTTTCCCTTCCCCTCCCCACAACAGACACCCTGTGTGGTAGGTGGGGCTGAGAGCTCTCTCTTTCTCAAGGACAGCTCTGACAGAACTATGGCTTGCCCAAGGTCATCCAGCAGCTGCAAGTGGAGGAGTGGGGAATCAAACCCGGTTCTCCCAGATTAGAGTCTGTACACTTAGCCACTACACCAGACTGGCTCTTGTGAGAAAAGGTGGATCTTGTCGGGAGAGTCTGAGCACCAGTTTAGTCGCCCAGGCTAAAGGCAACCCAAAGTGGTGTGTACTCCTTGCAAAAGTTTTGAGAAGTGATCCTGTGATGAGAACCTAACATAAGTGGATCAGGTGGTAGGTTATGTGAAATAAGAGTCTCGCTTTTAACAGAAGTATAGTAACATTTTGTTCAATCGTAAAACAAATCATATAACTTATGTCTTCACTTTCTTGACTCTTGTCTTCCTGCCGCTGTATTTTTTGGTTTGGTCGCTGTATGCATTTACACCCATGGGCACCATGTTAGGGACCCCCTGAGATAGGCTAAAAAGAAGCCACAGAAACAGCAATAAACATTCAGCGGCCCAAAATGAGATCCACAGAACAGTCTGCAGGTTAGAAGCCTACTCACAAAACCAAAATAGGACCCACGGTAAGTAGGAAATACCAAAAATCAGCAAATACTGATTTTGAATATCTCAAATAATTTTTATATATTTTTTGTTTTATATTTTTACAATGTATTCACCATATATTATCATATAAGCCTTAATAGATAGAAAGAATCATAGATCAAAACAGCTAAGTATCTTCTTAACCTTCGACAACACATCTAAGCAGGGCTTTTTTTGTAGAAAAAGCCCAGCAGGAACTCATTAGCATAATAGGCCACACCCAACAGCAAAAACATATTAGCATATTAGGCCACACCCCTGACAGCACAGCTCATTGGCATATTAGGCCACACCCCCATGTTACCAGAAGTGTGCTCATCCAACCACATCCACCTTTTGCTTCTTATTCTGTTTACCTTCTTTGTTGCCAAAACCCAGGGCTTTTTTGTAGCAGGAACTCCTTTGCATGTTAGGCCACACACCCCTAATGTAGCCAATCCGAATGAGTTTCTGCTGTTGGGTGTGGCCTATTATGCTAATGCGTTCCTGCTGGGTGTGGCCAACTAGGGAGCCAGCTGGAACTCCGTTCCTGTGCGTTCCTGCCCCAAAATAGCCCTGCATCTAAGTGTCGTCTCCTAATATATCACAAAAGGTATTGCACAACCCCTTTATTAATATCAGTCATCCTTAATTGTACAAAAGTTTTAAGAGGGAGGACTCCTTTACGTCTGTTTTGAATACGTGCTCCGTCTGCCTCCAACAGAGGTCCAGATATCCTCCTGTTTCAGCGTCTTCCTCGGGGAGTTCGACAGATATCTCCAAGCACAAGGCTGCCAAATACCAAAATATTTATCCAATTTTTTCAATGAACGCTGCAAAACGTCTCTCTTAGTGAGCTCAAAGCTTCCTCCAAAGTGAAAAGCTTTCCCCTTGCCTTATACTGACTCAGACCACTGGTCCATCAAGGTCAGTATTGTCCATGCAGGCTGGCAGTGGCTCTCCAGGGTCTCAGGCAGAGGTCTTTCCCATCACTTCCTGCCAGATCTTTTAACTGGAGATGTCGGTGACAGCGAGCTGCCATCTCTTGCTGGGTCGCCTCACGGCCCTTCCTCCCCCCCCAGTTATGTCTTCGCGCTCATGCTTGTTTAGCTTTACCCGTGTGAAAGGAACTTGTGTTTAGGAAACCGGGCGTTACTTTCTCATGTAACTTCGCGCCCTTTCTAATCTCCCCGTTTCCAGCGGGAAGTGGGATCATTGGTCCAAACCTTGTTCAAAATCCCTTTATTATACCTGTACTGCTGACAAACGTCATTCCAATCAATTTCTGTATGTTCGTGATCAACCATGTCTTTGAAATAAATCTTGCTTTACTTTTGAACGTGGATCTATTCTCATGCTTGGGGATCTAACATTTTGATATGACCCCTGCTTTTGTGGTTCTTGTTGAGAAATGTTTGCACAAATCATTTCAAAACACAGATGTTCTGAAAGTTTTTCTGTAAATTAAAATGGCCAGTGAGGTAACAGTTGTGACTAAAAATAAAAAATCGTTAAGATCTATTATGTTGGGGTTTTGTTTTGTGAAATTAAAAAAAAGTGTGCGACTATTTGGGGGAGTTGACGAGCGAGGTCCCCCCAGGGCAGCATATAACAGAGTTTGTTTCTGCCGGACCCAAGACTTACGGCTACAGGCTGTCGGGAGGGGAGGTGTGTCTGAAAGTAAAGGGCATTACTCTGAACACGGTGAATAGGGAAAAGATCCACTTTGACAGTCTGAAGGATTTGGTGTTCACCTACTGTTCCGGGGCTGAGCCCGGCGAGATCCTCTTAAGCCACCCGGGCATCGTCAGAGACAAAGAGAACTTTGTCATCAAAACCAAGCTTCTTACAAAAACCCAGAAGGTAGTGTACGACAAGCGTGTGCTCGGGGAGGGGTTTAAGAGCCTGCCCTACGGCTACTGAAATGGATACAAGATGGCGGCACCCTTTCTCGGCCATCCTGGCGGGCCCCAGTAACTGCGGGAAAAGTTATTTCATTAAAAATTTGCTCATGAATGCTCATTCTACGCTTTCTGTTATGCCTGAAAATATCGTGTGGTTTTACGCGTGCTGGCAACCTCTGTACGATGAACTGCTCAAACGTTATGCTTGTATAAAGTTTGTTGAAGGACTGCCTTCGTGTTTGAACGATCCTGTGTTGTTGCCCAGTAATAAAAAATCGTTGGTTGTGATTGATGACCTCATGATGTCTGCTTCTGATAATGAGGAGGTTGAAAACGCTTTCACCAAATACGTTCACCACAGAAATCTGAGTATTATCTACATCGTGCAGAATTTATTCTGCCAGGGTAAAAGCAGCAGAACCATCACTCTGAACACCAAATACATGGTGTTATTTAAAAACCCGAGGGATAAATTACAAATCGCTACTCTGGCCAGGCAGATGTACCCGGGGAAAGCGAACTTTTTTATGGAGGCCTATGAAGATGCCACATCAAAGCCCTACGGGTACCTGGTGGTGGATTTAAACGGGTCCACGCCGGAGCCCTACAGGCTGCGCACGGGGATGTTCCCCCCCGACCTCCCCGTCTGCTACGTTATTAAAAAAACGGCGGGAGGAATTAAAAGGCGCTGACACACACCACCCCAAAGCTTTTTATGGGAGGCCGTCCGTCACGGCGGAAGCATGTCGGCCTGCTTAAAAAGAAACGGGGCTCTCCTGAAACTCGTCTCCAAAGCTCCCCCGCGCCTGAGGAAGGCTATTTTGGGGACCGCTCCCAACGACCTCGTCAAGGCTATCGGGGAGATCGCTCTAAACGCCCTGAAAGGCGTGATTCCCCTTTCAGCGAGGCAGAAGACTTTCCTGCGGAAAAAACGGGCCGTCATTAAATCCCTGAGCAGCTCTAAAATCCCTCTGACAAAGAAGAAGAAGTTGGTGAGGCAACAGGGGGGCTTCATCGGTTCCCTGTTGGCTTTTGCTCTTCCCCTGATTACCAGCCTCTTAACCCGTTCCTGATGGAGCATGCCGAGAAAATGTACCTGGTCCCCGGCCAACAATTAGAGCGCCTGACCAACCCGCGACCCCCCGAGGGGGACCCCATCAGGCACAGCGCCGTACACTCTCTAGACCGGGAGATGAAAACTGTTCTAGAGAGAGGGGACTTGTCCGAATATGAGAAGGCCAAACTCTACGGGTCTCTCCTTCAGAAATATCTAACGCACGTCAGAATGGGGGAGGAAGAGAAAACAAAGCTGAACCTGTATCTTCCTCAACCCGTGTTAGCGGCAGGCCCTGATGAAAAGAATGCGTTCGGATTTGAAGAGGTGGTGGAGAATCTGCCGCGCCGATACAGGAACAACGCCCGCGTACTGCTAAAGAAAATGCATCAAAACAGAGACGTGGCCTCTTGGGATGAAAGGGGAACTTTTCTTTATAGAGGGTCCCCGGTCGCCGGGAGCAACCTGCAGGACCTCGTCAAGGCAATTACTCAAACGCACCCTCCCTCTTCCGCCCCACGGCCTAAAGGCATGGATGTGTTTATGACGGCTCTGGCCGAACTCAACGTGCCCTCCTCGGTCGCCGGCAACCTGGCGACTAGATGGGCAACCAAAGCAGGGCCTCTGAAGAGGACTGGAGGGGGTGGTCCCTCAGGTCTGCTGGTCCCAGGCCGTTCAGGGCTCTCAGTGTCCCTACCGGCTCCTTGCATTGAGCCCAGAAGCATAAAGACATAAGAGAAGCCAGTGTTGGATCAGGCCAATGGCCCCTCCAGTCCAACACTGTGTCACACAGTGGCCAAAAATACCAGGCGCCCTCAGGAGGTCCAGCAGTGGGGCCAGGACCTCCCACTGTTGCCCCCCCCAGCACCAAAAAGACAGAGCATCCCTTGCCCCAGACCGAGAGTCCCTATCTATACCTTGTGGCTAATAGCCACCGATGGACCTCTGCTCCATATGCTTATCTAATTCCCTCTTGAAGCCGTCCATGCTTGTAGCCGCCGCCACCTCCTTCAGCAGTGAATTCCACGTGTTCATCACTCTTTGGGTGAAGAAGTAAGAAAACGAATTGGCATGCCTGCCTTTTTAGACAGGGGAAGGAGAGGCAGCACCCATCCGGGCCTAGTCGGCTTCTCTGCCGGCCTCTCTCTCCTGCGGCACGTTCATGCGGGCTTACCGGTGGATTTGGGCAAGCCAGCCGGGTGGAGAGACTGCCAAGCCGTGGCCCAGGGGATATGGCCAGGCCACAAGTATTCCTTGGGATGTCTCACACCCGATAACTTGGGGGATGGGTGGAGATGTTCAAGGTGTGCACATGCGAAAGTGACACGAGGGAGTTCTGCCACGGTTGCTTACGATCGGAAGTGAGGTGACACGGTGCCCACCTCTGACAAAGCGTTTGCGGTCTTTTCCGACACCAGCGCAGAAATAGCTCGATGTGAGAAGAGGCCTCGCGTGGGCTGTGCCTCAGCTCTGTCTGACTCACTTCTCCACCTCACAAATTTTTATTTCCTTGACTTCCTCTGCACTGGGGAACCAAGCTTCTTATAGCCTTCTCCTCAGGACAAAGTTCGAGTCCGGTGGCCTCTTTAAGACCAGCAAAGTTTAATTCTGGGTATCAGCTTTCGTGTGCAGGCACACCTCTTCCTAAAGCGCACAAAAGGCTGATGCCCAGAATTAAACTTTGTTGGTCTTCAAGGTGGCACTGGACTCCGACTTTGTTGAGCTGTATGTCGTCAAAGGCTTTCGCGGCCAGATTTCATTAGCTGTTGTAGATTTTGCAGGTTGTATGGCCGTGGTCTTGGCATTGTAGGACTGGACGTTTCGCCAGCAGCTGTGACTGTCATCCTCAGAGGTATAACACAGAAAGATAGAGTACTCTCTGTGTCAAGGTGAGAAGAAAAATGGTAGGCAGGTAATTTATATCTACTCAGGAAGGTGGGGTAGGGCTGAGTCATTATCTTGTAGGAGTTCCTGTCAGCGAGCTGCCATCTCTTTTCTGGGTCACCTCACATCCCTTCCTTCCTCCCCCTATCTTCTGTTGTTGAAGTGTTTTCTCTGTTAGGCATCTGCTGCAACCAAGGTCGCCAGCTGGTGAGAAGTAGGAGTTATGTCTTCGCGCTTATGCTTGTTTAGCTTTACCCGTGTGAAAGGAACTTGTGTTTAAGAAACCGGGCGTTACTTTCTCATGTAACTTCGCGCCCTTTCTAATCTCCCCGTTTCCAGCGGGAAGTAGGATCATTGGTCCAAACCTTGTTCAAAATCCCTTTATTATACCTGTACTGCTGACAAACGTCATTCCAATCAATTTCTGTATGTTCGTGATCAACCATGTCTTTGAAATAAATCTTGCTTTACTTTTGAACGTGGATCTATTCTCATGCTTGGGGATCTAACAGCCGGGGACTGAACCTGGGACCTCCTGCATGCCAAGCAGATGCTCTACCACTGAGCCCAGCCCCTCTTTACAGCTCTTCAAAGTTTCAGGCAGAAGGTCTTTCCCATCACCTCCTGCCTGGTCCTTTTAACTGGAGATGCCGGGGATTGAACCTGGGACCTTCTGCATGCCAAGCAGAGGCTCTTCCACTGAGCCACAGCCCCACCCTCATCGGCAGCATAGAAATTACCTTAAACCTACTAAACCAGGGGTGTCGAACATAAGGCCTGGGGGCCAGATTTGGCCCATCCGAGGCTCTTATGCGGCCCGCGAGCAACTGATGCAAGGGAAGGGGTGCTGGGGGGAGTGGGCGGACCCAATCAACGATGGCTTTAGCACAGCAGAACAACCTCGCCTGCAGCAGTCAAGCGTCGTGGGAGCATCTGCCCAGCATTATCTCTGTGGGTTTTCCTCTAGACCCCCCCCCCTCCCAGCCCATGGGGCCTTGCAGTGAGGACACACCAACTCGGAGTTTAACAGTTGCTGTTCCTTATGCAGTTTCTATCTCCAGTACCCGGCATTACGAATTATGGCACACGTGGCCCGGCCCGACAATGAGGCATTTATGTCAGATCCGGCCCGCGTAACAAATGAGTTCGACACCTCAGTTCTAAACAGGCTTCCCAAGTATTTACCGTGATTCGGCGGGGGACGAAGACGTCTTCGCAGGATCATTCCTGCGGGGACAACAGACGTGCCGCACCATGCCGTCGCCAGGAAGTGACGCCGGGCGACGCTCTGGCAATGGGGCCAGAAACTCGATGGTACCATCGAGTTTCTGGCCCCATTGCCAGAGCGTCGCCCGGCGTCACTTCCTGGCGACGGCATGGTGCGCGACAAGGAGAAATGTTCCGGCCGGGGAGCATGTGTCCCCCGGCAGATTGCGGTAAGTACTCGGCAACCCTAGTTCTACACCCTCGTGCCTTGCAGGCGACGGCAGGGTTATTTCCCGTTCTCCATACCTGCTTTGTGCCCTTGGAAAGTCGCGACGCAGCGGCCCTCTTCTGCCGACCAGATCTTCAGCTGGGCGTCCATTCCCCCGCTCAGGACCACCAGGCCGGATGGGAAAAACCTGCAGCAGTTCACGTCGTAAATGTGGCCTTCCAAGCGTCTCTGGAAAGGCAAAAGAACCTTGGTGTTAAGGGCCTCTGCTGATTCTCATCTCATCTTTAAATAAGCATTAGATAGCGACCTACATCTACCTCTTTGGCAGGTCAAAACCCCCATGGACTGTCTCCGTGGCAACAGGGATCAGCAGGTCTTTATAGAACGTTGTCTCTTTAGCCTCGTAACAGAAACGATCAAGGCGCTTCCGGTGACAAACTGCACCTTGAAAATGCCTACAGGCCAGGGGCCCTCAACATTTTTGAACCTGCAGGCACCTCTGGGAATTCTGCCACCAGGCCGGTAGCTATGGTGGGGCTTTGGGGGGCTCCGCCCTTTCTTACAAGCACAGCCCCACAATAATTCCTCCTGTAAATGCTTTTTTCAATCATTTAAAAACTTTTTTTTAAAGGCGTGCGCTCCTTTAAGCAGAGTGGGGTGCTGTAGTTGACTAATTCCCACACTGAACAAGGGGGTTGGAGTGGGTGACCTCTAGGATCCCTTCTAATTCTGAATCAAGAAGCTGGTCTCCTTTAAGAGAGTTTTTCTGTCTGTTAACGGCCTCTGCTGATATTTAAGCTTTCTTGACTAGAGAAGCCATCACTCCCACCTGCCGGCTTGTTCTCAGAATGGTTGCTTAGGCTGGCCGAAGTGATTAAATTGCAGCAGCTAAGAGCTGTCATCAAAAGTGGTTGACCACTTGCAATTTAGAGATCTCTCCTGCTAACCGCTTTCGATTGGCTAAGTGGCTTTTTTGTCTGCACTGAGAGCTTCAGCCCCACAAGAAAAAAAAAATGTCCCACGAGCCACAAAATCCTGGCTAGGGGCCTGTCTCACACTGAATGGTGGGTGCAACCACAAAATGGCTGCTGCGAGGGGCGGGGCCAACAACAACACATCAAGGATAACTCTGATAGTAAGTCTTCAGCATTTCCGGTAGAAGCTCTCTTTAGCAGGATGCCTTTTTAAATGAACACATGGTATCCAACAGAAGAAGAGCACAAGAAGAGCAACAAGGGGAGTGATGATGAAACACTTACTGGAGAAGACTCGGATTCGGAATGTGGGGCGGCTGCCCCCAAGCAAGGATATCAATTGAGGGACAGGAGAGGCAAATGAGATGCCAATTTTCTCTGAAGTTTGGACTTGATTCTTAATATTTAAGCGTTCTCTGTTTTGTTTTTTACTAAGTCAGAATATCTGGACTTGGAATTTTTTTAAGCGACTTTAACCATCACCTTCAATGGAACAATTTAATTTTTTTTCTACTTCAGAAGAAGAGATTGGATTTATACCCCGCCCTTCACTACCCAAAGGTGTCTCAGAGCGGCTTCCAAACTCCTTTCCCTCCCCCTCCCCACAACAGACACCCTGTGAGGTAAAAGAAAAAGGAGAAGAGATTGGATTTATACCCTGCCCTTCACTACCCAAAGGTGTCTCAGAGCGGCTTACAGTCTCCTTTCCTTCCCCTTCCCCACAACAGACACCCTGGGAGGTAAAAGAAGAAGAAGAAGAGATTGGATTTATACCCTGCCCTTCACTACCCAAGGGAGTCTCAGAGCGGCTTACAAACTCCTTTCCCTTCCCCTCCCCACAACAGCCACCCTGTGAGGTAGAAGAGGAAGGAGAGATTAGATTTAAACCCGCCCTTCACTACCCAAAGGAGTCTCAGAGCGGCTCACAAACTCCTCTCCCTTCCCCTCCCCACAACAGACACCCCATGAGGCAGGTGGGGCTGAGAGAGTTCTTGACAGAAACTGCTCTTTTCCAAGAACAGCTCTTATCAGAACTACGGCTTGCCCAAGGTCATCCAGCCAGGTGCAAGTGGAGGAGTGGGGAATCAAACCCGGTTCTCCCAGATTAGAGTCCGCACACTTAACCACGACACCAAACTCGAAAGAATCTGGTTCTCACTCGGATCTCTCCGTTCGCCGCCTGCCAGATCTTCATCGTCCCATCGGCACTGGTTGACACGCCCAGCCCGCCCCCGCTGGAAAGGTCAAGACAGGTGATCTGGAATTGAGAGAGGGAAGAAAAGACATGCCTGCAGTCCCATGAGAGCACAACATGGATGCTGCAGCTTAGGCATTATCGCGCGGCCCGCAGACTAACTAGCCTGGGCCACCCAGGACAGAACAAGAGACGAACAGAAGTGACTTGTCCACGCCTGCCCCTGCACTGCAACCCTGGACTTCATTGATGGTCTCCTAAGCAAATACTGATCGGGGCCGACCCTGCTTAGCTTCCGAGATCTGATGAGATTGGGCTAGCCTGGACTGTTGCTGCCACGTCACAGCTGTCTTATGGCGACCCTGTAGGGTTTTCAAGGCAGGAGAAGAAGAAGAGGAGGAGATTGGATTTATACCCCGCCCTTCACTTGGAGTCTCAGAGCGGCTTACAATCTCCTTTCCCTTCCCCTCCCCACAATGGACATCCGGTGAGGTAGGTGGGGCTGAGAGAGCTCTCTCGACGACTGCCCCTTGAGAGGACAGCTCTGAGAGAACTTGTGACTGACCCAAGGTCACACCAGCAGCTGCCTGTGGAGGAGTGGGGAATCAAACCCGGTCCTCCCAGATTAGAGCCTGCCCTCCTAACCACGACACCAAACTGGCTCTCATGTTCAGATGTTCAGAGGTGGTTGGCCATTGCCCGCCTCTGCGTAGCGACCCTGGACTTCCTTGGTGGTCTCCCATCCAAATACTAGCCAGGGCTGGGCAGACCCTGCTTAGCTTCCGAGATCTGACGAGATTGAGCTAGCCTGGCCTATCCAGGTCAAGTGGCCACAGCCTACTAGCTCTAAGGCTGGATGCTGAAAACCAAACAACGGGACTTGTCTCGGGTTCTCATTGTGCGGACGACCCATCATTTTGTCAACAGCACATCACTTTGCCCCAGAATAGGCAGCAGTTCACCAGGCTCTCGGGCGGAATTCTTTCACATTACCTACTGCTTGGTCCTTTTAGCTAGAGATGCCAGGGATTGAACCTGGGACCTTCTGCTTGCCAGACAGGTGCTCTACCTCTTGGTGGGGCAGGTGAATTTCTAGGCTCCCTCTACACCAGGGGTGTCGAACTCATTTCTTATGAGGGCCGGATCTAACATAAATGAGACCTTGTTGGGCCGGGCCACGTGTGTCAAAAAATGTAATGCCAGGTAGTGGAGAGATAAACTTTATAAAGGACACAAACACATTTTTTTTTACTTAAAATAAAAACATGCTTAAAACATTAGCACTCTGGCAATATTTTTGTTTATTTAACAGTGTCTGATAAGTGACACCTCTTGCTCTGAATTACTGCATCAAAATGTCTCTGCTGTTGCAATCTTGAGTGTGCTGCTCAGGTGTGTATCTGTAAGCTGCAAACCTACGATAACGCAGCAAGCAGCAGAACTGGAAGAAGAAGCAGAAGACAGCCAGTTCCACTGTGGGCCTGATAGAAGCCCTCCGGGGGTCTCATCCGGCCCCTGGGCTGCATGTTTGACACCCCTGCTCTAGAAAGAATGAAGATTGACTGCCTTCACAGTATCTGGGCCATGCTGACGGAATGAGGACAACATCAGGCAGCCCGGTCTTCTTATTTTAACTCGGTTTGAAGAAAGCCATTAGGGCCCTGTCAAAGAACTCCTGTCGCCAGATCTCCTTCATTTAAAAAACGGCCCTTCTGAAAAACCACTTACGCTTTTTTGATGGATTCTACAAAAGGCCGTATAGGGCGCCCGGAACCGAGTGGAAGCGTTTTCACGGGGGCAAGAAACGAGCAGGCTTTTCTGGGGCGGGAGGGAGGGATGAGACAGACAGAATATTAAAACGAATCAAAGCCCAGGATGCTCCTCTTGTTTTGGCTTATCCCACCCCCACCCCCCAATTATGAAGCATTGAGACCGATCAGACGGCAAATGCCAAATACAAGAGCAAGACGGGTGGGCATTGTTGCTCCAAACGGACGTGATTACCTTCTTTTCACCCGTCTACCTTTCGTCTCCAGCTACTTTCCGTCACAGCGGGGGCTTTGATAGCTGCTAGAAATCGCACATTCGGGCCCTTCCATTATTACCTGCCTGTATCTCAACCTCCCATCCAATGATCTCAGGGCAGTGTCCTTTCGTTTCAGAGCAAAGCCGTGCGGGTCTCCAGCAACGCTCCCTCTAAGCTATGCAAGCAAAAATTCTACTTCGTGATCTACTGGCATTCAAGTTGTGAGCGAGTGATTCGGCTTCTACATAAATTAGTTTGCTCCAGAGCCATCCCTTCCTGAGCAAAGACAAAAATGTGTGAGCCGGAGGCTAAAAAACTGTGAGCTGGCTCACACTCACTCAGCTTAGAGGGAACACTGGTCTGCAGCAGAAAAGCAAGATTCAAGTACGGGAGCGCCTTCGAGACCAAGATTTTTGTGGGTATGAGTTTTGAAGGTGCAAAGCTTACCTGATGGAGGACAGTGTTCCCTCTAAGCTGAGTGAGTGTGAGCCAGCTCACAGGTTTTTTAGCCTCCGGCTCACACATTTTTGTCTTGGCTCAGGAAGGAGGGCTCCAGAGCACACTAATTTATGCAGCTGTCAAATCGCTCACTCACAGCTTTAATGCCAGCAGCTCACAAAGTAGGATTTTTGCTCGCAAGACTCCACAGCTTAGAGGGCGCAATGCTTCCAACCAGTGTTCCCTCTAAGCTGCGTTAGCGTGAGCTGGCTCACAGATTTTTTAGCCTCCGGCTCACAGTTTTGTCTCGGCTCAGGAAGGGACGGCTCCAGAGCACACTAATTTATGCAGTAGCCCAATCGCTCACTCACGGCTTTAATGCCAGGAGTTCACAAAGTAGGATTTCTGCTCGCAAGACTCCACAGCTTAGAGGGAGCATTGCTTCCAGCCAGTGTTCCCTCTAAGCTGCGTTAGTGTCAGCCGGCTCATAGGTTTTTTAGCCTCCGGCTCACACATTTTTGTCTTGGCTGAGGAAGGGATGGCTCCAGAGCAAACTAATTGACGCAGCCGCCCAATCGCTCACTCACAGCTTTCATGCCAGGAGGTCACAAAGTAGGATTTTTGCTCACAGGACTCCACAGCTTAGAGGGGGGGCATTGATGGAGGGATCTTTGACTCTTGAATGCTCACACTGGGAACAGTCTTGTTGGTCTCCAAGGTGCTCCGGCACTCTAATCTAGCTATGAAAATGAGTTGATAAGGCGGGCTTTAGCTTGGAGAGGCTTAGTAAAGGTAAAGGTTCCCTTGCTCGAAAGCCAGTCGAGTCCGACTCTAGGGTTGCAGTGCTCATCTCCGTTTCAAAGCCGAAGAGCCAGCGCTGTCCGAAGACGTTTCCGTGGTCATGTGGCCGGCATGACTAAACACCAAGGCACACGGAACGCTGTTACCTTCCCACTGAAGTGGTATCTATATATCCACTTGCAATTTCTTGCTTTCGAACTGCTAGGTTGGCAGGAGCTGGAACTAGAGACGGGAGCTCACTCCATCATGCGGCACACTCGGGTCTCGGACAGCTGAACTACCAACCTTCCACAGCCTGCAGTTCAGCGTCTTAACCACTTGAGCCACCGCAGCTCCCTGAAGAGGCTTAACTAGCACAAAGTTTTTTAAATACCACGAGGCTCCTGTTCATTTTATTTTTTGCTTTGGAAGGCTAAATACAGAAGTCTCTCTGGAATAATTTTCAGGGCGAGAATGCAAAGGAAAGAGACTGGTTCTCCCCCCCCCCCCAAATCTTTGAGATGGAGCCTTTGGCCAAAAGGGGGGGGGGAGGCAATGAAATTTCTCTTTTCCCCTACTCCTTCCAGGTCAGGATGATATTTTTTAAAAATTGATAGAAGAAGGATTTATACCCTGCCCTTCACTACCCAAAGGAGTCTCAGAGGGGCTTACAATCTCCTCCCCCTCCCCATAACAGACACCCTGTGAGGTAGGTGGGGCTGAGAGAGCTCTTTCCAGAACTGTCCTTGAGAGAACAGCTCGGACAGAACGATGGCTTGCCCAAGGTCATCCAGAAGGTGCAAGTGGAGGAGTGGGGAATCAAACCTGGTTCTCCCAGATTAGAGTCCACGCACTTAACCACGACACCATAGAATCGTAGAGTTGGAAGGGACCTCCAGGGTCATCTAGTCCAACCCCCTGCACGATGCAGGAAATTCACAAACACCTCCCCCCCTCCATACGCCCACTGACCGCTGTTCCACATCCAGAAGATAACAAAAAAAAACCCCAACCCAAACCCCTCCAGGATCTCCAGCCAAACTGGCCTGGAGAAAAGTTACTTCCTGACCCCAACGTAGCGATCAGCATTTCCCTGGGCGTGTAAGAAAGGGCCACGAGAACTAAGCCCTGATGCAACCCAACAATTAAGGGGAAGCCAGGAACCCTCCCTCTTAGCCCATCCACCAGCTCTGATGGGAGGGGGGGAATGGGGGGGGGAGAGGGGAAAGGGAGGAAGAGGAAAACCAAGTCTCTGCCTGTGTCTGGATTGGGGGATGTGGGGGGGGGGACCAGAGGCCATATTGGAGCTTTCCTCAAATGGTCAAAATGGCAGGATTTAAACCCACGCAAAGGAGCAGAATTGTCCCTGGACTTCCAGAAAGGTAAGGGTGTGGAGTCGAACCTCTTTTCCTATGAAATGACCCCTGAAGGAGAGTAAGGTCGGTGCCAGTCCAGAGGTGAGACCCCACCCCTGAAAAGGCCATCTTTCTACCTGTCACCTGCCTCATCGAGGGCCTGAGAAAGGGGAAGAATTCATTTATCTATTTATTTCGATTTATATCCCGCCTTGCCTGACAAGCAGGCTCGAGGCGGCGTACAATGGGTTAAAAGTACAATAAAACACAGATAAAATCCCACAAACAATTCCAAACAATAATATACAAAGTGAAGATTAAGTGCAAATGGCAATCGTTGTAAGACGGTCCAGTGAGCAAGCAATTTGGCTGCTGCATAAATCAGCTGGCTCGGGAGCCTTCCTTCCTCAGCCAAGACAAAAATGTGTGAGCCGGAGGCTAAAGAACTGTGAGCCAGCTCACACTAACTCAGCTTAGAGGGAACACGGGTGTGGACGGAAATGTAGCAAGAGGTATATGAATGACACCATATTCTACTGCTAGCTGACTAGCACCCTCAGCTAGTCTACCCTTCAGCCACAAAGACTGAGGAGACAATACCTTTGTTACTTCTTTTACAACAAATCCTTCGGAGGCTGTGATTTCGGGAATTCCATCCGCGCCCACCCCCTGACAGGTCAGGGTGCCGTACAGAGTAGATTTTCCTGCAGCGCAAAAAGAATGACAGACAAAAAGTTGGCATTTTATTACTCTAACCAAGCTGTGATCGTGATCTAGGGTTTGGGTTGTTGTTGTTTTTTTAAAGTACACTTTCAAACTTCGTTTTCAGCCCCTAAAGGGGACTTCCAGCTTTTCCTACTTGCACAGATTAGAATCACTATTTTCAGGTAATGCAGCCCGTGCTTGCCAATATTAGCCACGCGCTCGGTCTTCACACACACGATCACCTTTAAAACAGCCCCGTTAGGTAGGTCAGCTTTATTCTTACAGACCCACACATTTAGTGGCTTCCCTAAGATCATCGGGTCCAACATCTACAACGGTTCTTGTGACTGAAAGTTGCTACCCTGAGAAAGAAGAACTGAGGAAATGCTCTAAAGCAGACTCAAAGAGACGAACAGAGGGGAAAACACTAAAAAATGCCCAGATAATAAAACAGGGAGCCGCGGTGGCTCAGTGGTTAAGACACTGAGCTGCAGACTGGAAGGTCAGTAGCACGGCAGTTCGAGACCCGAGTGCCGTGTGACAGAGTGAGGTCCCGTCTTTGGCCCCAGCTTCTGCCAACCTAGCAGTTCGAAAGCAAGGAATTGCAAGTAGATAAATAGGTACCACTTCAGTGGGAAGGTAACAGCATTCCGTGCGCCTTGGTGTCTAGTCATGCTGGCCACATGACCACGGAGAAGTCTTCGGACAGCGCTGGCTTTTCAGCTTGGTGTTTGGTGTAGTGGTTAAGTGTGCGGACTCTAATCTGGGAGAAACGGGGTTGCTTCCCCACTCCTCCACTTGCACCTGGCTGGATGACCTTGGGTAAGCCGTAGTTCTGGTAAGATCTGTCCTTAAAAAAGAGCAGTTTCTGTCAGAGCTCTCTCAGCCCCCCCTACCTCACAGGGTGTCTGTTGTGGGGAGGGGAAGGGAAAGGAGTTTGTAAGCCACTCTGAGACACCTTCGGGTAGTGAAGGGCAGGGTATAATCCAGTGGTGGCGAACCTATGGCACGGGTGCCAGAGGTGGCACTCAGAGCCCTCTCTGTGGGCACGTGTGCCATCGCCCTAGCCAGGCCCAGACCACCATTAAAGTATTGAATTCTCTGCCAAATAATTTTAAGTAAATGAAAGCATTTGGGATTGCTTTCCTTACTTTGCTACTATCATCTTAAATTAATGTATGAGTTGTTTTTTCTAAAGTTGTTGTTGTTCAGTCGCACAGTCGAGTCCGACTATTTGCGACCCCATGGACAAGATCTCGCCAGGCCCTCCTGTTTTCCGCCGTCCTCTGAAGTTTGCTCAACTTCATGTTTGTTGCATCGATGACACTGTCTAACCATCTCATCCTTTGCCGTCCCCGTCTTCTTTGACCTTCAATCTTTCCCAGCATCAGGGTCTTCTCCAGTGAGTGTTCCCTTCTTCAGGTTTAATTGCCGTGTTGGCACTTTGCAATAAATAACTGGGTTTTGGGTCGCAGTTTGGGCACTTAGTCTCTAAAAGGTTCGCCATCACTGGTATAATCCAATCCTTTCTTCTTCTTCGGCTTGGAAACAGAGATGAGCACCGCCCCCTGGAGTCGGATTCAACCGGCTTTTGAGCAAGGGAAGCCTTTATCTTTACTTCCTCTTCTTTGACTGGCCTTCCTCTTAAGTGGCCTGACTTACAGTGGTTTCTCTCTTCAGACTTCCATGAAAAGACAAGATTCACTAGCTCAGGGGTCCAGCTTGCAGGCACCTTTGCAATGCTGACACAGAGTGGTGGGCACAGTCACAAAACGGCTGCCTCAAAAGGCAAAGCCAACCACATAATGTCAGGGAACGTTATATCTATGTATCTAATAGCCAAGGCGCCCCCTGCGTGCGGATATCTAAATCCGCACATCGGGGGCACCTGGAGGGCAGAGAGATTTTCCTGCACGTTTGGGGCAATCCCCAGATGTGCAGAAAAATCTGAAATCTATAAAAAATATAGTAAAAGTAAAAGCCTCGCCGCTGGGGGGGAGAAGGCTTGGCCGACCGCTGGCTGTGAGCCACTCAGCCCTCACTGTCGCCGCCACTAGGGGAGGGAGGAGGCTTGGCTGGCCGAGCTCAGGCCTCGCCACCGGTGCCGAGGGAGGAGGGAGAAGGCTTGGTGGGTTCGGTGGCTGGGAGCCGTGTGGGCCTCGCCGTTGGTGCTGGGAAGAAGGGGAGAAGGCTCACCTGCGGCTGCTTCCTCCTCCTCCACGTGGAGTCCCCCCCCCGCGAGTATTGCGGGGGCCCCTTCTTGTATGACTCTATTAGTAACTCTTTGGCATTTCAGGCAAAAGCTCTGTTTGAAAGGATACCTTTTAATCTGTGCAGCCAATCAAAAGCCATGCCAGGCAAACTCCCACCTAGCCCTGCTCACTTTCTGAGAGCACTTGGCAGGCACCCGCCCCACGGGCACCATGATGGACAGGAAGAAAGTGGATTCCTTTGAAATGTAGTGTTGGAGGAGGGTTTTACAGATATCGTGGACCACCAGAAAGACAAATAACTGGGTTCTAGATCAAATCAAGCCTGAACTCTCTCTAGAAGCTCAAATGACTGCGGCTGTCGTACTTCAGCCACATCATGAGAAGACAGGAGTGACTGGAAAAGACAATAATGCTGGGAAAAGCTGAAGGAAGGAGGAAAAGAGGAAGACCCGACATGCGATGGATGGACTCAGCCAAGGAAGACATGGCCCACAGTTTGCAAGACCTGAGCAAGGCCGTTAACAAGGAGGTTTTGGAGGTCGTTTATCTTATAGGGTTGCCATAAGTCACAAGCGATGACGGCATCAAACACGCACACACACACACTCTGAGCCAATGTTCCCTCTAAGCTGAGTTAGTGTGAGCGAGCTCAGTTTTTTAGCCTCCGGCTCACACATTTTTGTCTCAGCCCAGGAAGGAGGGCTCCACTGCAAACTAATTGATGCAGCAGCCAAAGGGCTCGCTCACAACTTTAATGCCAGCAATTCACAAAGTCGAATTTGTGCTCACAAGACTCCACAGCTTAGAGGGAACATTGCTCTGAGCGCTGGCACCACAGTACGGCCTGGGGCTTTTTGTACGTTGCTCACCTGGGCTCCTGCAACTCAGCCAGGCCTCTCCCTCGTTCTTCCTGCAAAGAACGAAATATTATTACTTAGTATATAAAAGGGAATTAATTAAATTAAAGGTAACTGTGTTCCGTGCGCCTTGGTGCTTAGTCATGCCAGCCACATGACCACGGAAACGTCTTCGGACAGCGCTGGCTCTTTGGCTTGGAAACTGAGATGAGCAACCCTAGAGTCGGATTCGACTGGCTTTCGAGCAAGGGAACCTTTACCTTTATTAAAGGGAATGCTGGAATGAGACACTGGCATAGCCCCTCTGAATGGCACCACAGGAGGCATTTTGTTATTTGCATGTTTTATGCCATCTTGGGAACAAAACTATTTAAAACAAATGAAATATATAGCATAATATACACAATCAGGATCGGTACGGAGGGGCCATTGATATTCGGCATCTGAAATCACGCCACTTTCCAATAAATAGGACAGATGGACTCCCATTCTAGCTGTATCTGAAGAAGTGAGCAGCGGCTCACAAAAGCTCCTCCCCTGCCACACATTTTTGCTAGTCTTCAAGGTGCTCCTGGACTCTTGCTCTTTTCCGCTGCCACAAACAGACAAATACGGCTGCCCACCTTGATCTATTTCCATGGAAGGCGCCACATTTAGCTGTGCAGAATGGAAATTCATCAGCTATTTGATATAAGGACAGAGGGACTCCCATTCTAGCTGTATCTGAAGAAGTGAGCAGTGACTCACGAAAGCTCCTCCCCCTGCCCCACATGTTGTTAGTCTTCAAGGTGCTCCTGGACTCTTGTTCTTTTCTACTGCTACACCGTCACTGGATAGCTACTGAAAGCAAGGATTTGAAGGGCGGGAGTTTTTTAAAAAAGTTAAGATCAAACAAGAACAAAGGGAAATATTTGTGAGAGGGAACCCTGAATCGGTCCATCTCAGAGGTTCACTTTTTGGGGCCGATGGCGATAAACGATGAGATCAAATTGTTGGCTTTGGGGAGGGGGAAGACATCAGAAGCAGGAGCCCCTGTACCCATCCTGGGCTGAAACAGGTGAGGGGGCACCCACCCTAAGGTGGAAGCGGCAGCAGAAGCCTCAGGAGGGCCACTTTCTACTGATACTGTTAATGGGGTCACTGAAGGCACAGGGCGCATTTAGAAGAAGGCAAGCAAAAAGAAAACTATTATGGTGGAGTGAAAGGTTTATAGGACTTCTGGGGCTCAGCCCCTGAATCTTGGTGCAGTCTTTGGCAGGCCAGAAGACTGTAGCACGTCCAGGGGTCATTTCCTGCAGGAGCACCCTGGAGTCTTGCTCTTTTCTACTGCTACAGCATCACTGGATAGCTACTGAGAGCAAGGATTTGAAGGGCGGGAGTTAAAAAAAAAAGCTGGCAGTACTCTGGCAGTAAAGAGCCCAGGGTGCAGGCACATGCAGCAAGCCCCACCCCCTGCTCCCAGCAGCCCTCAGTCAGAGCAAGAAGCAGCCAGGTAACTTGCAGAGTTCCCCCTGCCCCCCCCCCCGTCCAAAACAGTCCAGTGGCACTCCCACCCCCACCCCCGCCACCGCCCAAAAGCTAGCAATCCAAAACAGTCCAGTGGAGCCTGAGTGATGGGTGTTGCTGTCTGACAAACTTCCGGTGATGCCAGGGGGTGTGGCATATGCAAATCAGTTATGCTAATGAGTTATGCTAATGAGCTCCTGCACCTCTTTTTCTACGAAATGACCCCTGAGCACGTCAATCCTTGGGGGTAGGGTTAACAGCCTCCAGGTGAGGCCTGGAGATCTTCCAGAATTACAACTGATCTCCAGGCAAGAGCGATCAGTTCACCTGAAGTAAACGACCACTTTGGATGGACGGTGCTCTATGACATTATACCCTACTGAGGACCCTCTCCTCCCAAACCCCGCCCTTCAGACTCCACCCCCAAATATCCAGGAATTTCCCAACTCAGGGTTGGCAACTCTGGGAAGGGAAAAAACCGAAGCGGAGCCAAGGTTGCCGGGGGGGGGGGGGAGAGTTGCCAGATCCTGGTTGGGAAATTCCTGGGGATTTGGGGATGGAGCCTGGGGAGGCCAGGGACCTCAGTGGGGTACAACGCCATAGAGTGCACCCTCCAAAGCAGCCATTTTCTCCAGGGGAAACTGATCTCTGTCGCCTGGGGACCAATTGTAATTCTGGATCTCCATGCCTCACTTTCCCCCAAGTACTGACACGTTACAGTCTTCTGATCTACCAAATACTGCACCTTATTTCCCATTTTCTGCCCCCCCCCCGAGTTTCAAGGGCTGAGCCTCAGAAGAGGAGACAAGCTGTAATTCCAGGGGATCCCCAGGTCCCACCTGAAGGTTGGCATCCCTAGAGGACACTGTGCTGCCAGCCAGGGGCAGAAGAACCCTTTCTTACATGCCGAGGGAAATGCCGATCGCCACTTTGGGGTCAGGAGGCCCTTTTTCTCCAGGCCAGTTTGGCTGGAGATCCTGGAGGGGTTTTTTTGTCATCTTCGGGGCATGGAACGGAGGTCAGTGGGGAGTGTGGGAGAGGGAGGCATTTGTGAATGTCCTGCCTTGTGCAGGGGGTTGGACTAGATGACCCTGGAGGTCCCTTCTAACTCTATGATTCTAGCCCAGGCTGTGCCTCAAGAAGAAGAAGAAGAGATTGGATTTATACCCCGCCCTTCACTACCCAAAGGAGTCTCAGAGCTGCTTACAAGCTTCTCTCCCTTCCCCGCCCCACAACAGACCCCCTGTGAGGTAGAAGAAGAAGAAGAGATTGGATTTATACCCCGCCCTTCACTACCCAAAGGAGTCTCAGAGCTGCTTACAAGCTTCTTTCCCTTCCCCTCCCCACAACAGACACCCTGTGAGGTAAAAGAAGAAGGAGAAGAGATTGGATTTATACCCCGCCCTTCACTACCCAAAGGAGTCTCAGAGCGGCTTCCAAACTCCTTTCCCTTCCCCTCCCCACAACAGACACCCTGTGAGGTAAAAGAAGAAGAAGAGATTGGATTTATACCCTGCCCTTCACTACCCAAAGGTGTCTCAGAGCGGCTTACAAACTCCTTTCCCTTCCCTTCCCCACAACAGACACCCTGTGAGGCAGGTGGGGCTGAGAGAGCTCTTGGCAGAAAGTGCTCTTTTTCAAGAACATCTCTTATCAGAACTACGGCTTGCCCAAGGTCATCCAGCAGGTGCAAGTGGAGGAGGAGTTTGGAATCAAACCCGGTTCTCCCAGATTAGAGTCCGCACACTTCACCACTACACCAAACTGGCAGAGCCCTATAGAAAGGCAGGGGGGAAAAGCTTCCCTCCCCCCCTTAGATTCTGGCCCCCAGCCCTGAGGTTTTGGGAGACCCAATGGAAGGGGGAGGGGCTTCAAGGCGAATCCCGGAAATGGGGGAAGAGATTCACCCTGTGGGGAAACTGAGGAAGGCTGAACTAGTCG